TATGGTGTTTGGGTCATTTCCTGGTAGGGCAGAGCCTCTCGGCAAGCAATCTAGTAAAGTCAGCCATGTGTTCATATTTGACATGAAAAACTTTCATAACTTACAGGATCATCCTCTGCTTGAATGCTAAGGAAAGGAATTCTGATAGCGAGCATGGAATCGGTGGAAGTGGCATCACGGTAATACGCTCCCTCGGTGGGGTAGCCCCAAGTCGGGCATTGCAAAGCTCTGTTGCATGTTAGAATCATATTCGTTTTGAGATGCAGAACGAATTTTCTTACCGATCGAACTCATGGAGGTAGGTAATGTTTCTAATGGTATCAACATCGATGCGAGGGTTTGTGGAGACTTGATCAACATGTCTATTTTCCATGTGGTTAGTTAACTTTTCACATTAGCCGAATAGATAGGTACTCACGCTTCAAAGAGCTTCTTCATACTGTTTCCCATGGTTCTACTGTATACCTCCTTGCCAAGCCAGGTGCTTTGCAGTACCATAGAACCAATATCCAGGTTCCATGGGCTCGCACAAATCACGGCTGCCTTCAATTGACAGGCGTCACCTTCCTCTCCCAGATACTACATGGTATGTCAGCGAAATGTGTAGGAAGTCAGCTTTACAGGGGGGCATACATTAGTGAGGATGTTAGCACCGAGTGAGAAGCCAATTCCAAAAAGAGGACGATTGGGGAACTGCTTCCTGAGCCACTTCACAGACTGGCGAACATCCCAGGTAGCTCGGGCGTTGTAGAGAACACTGGTACTGATGTTGGTCTCTGCACATCCTCTCGAGTTAACAACACATGCTTCCCAGGCACCATCTTTGACGAGAGGTGCTAGGACTTCCCGCAGATATATTTCATGGGAGCCACCACTCAGACCATGAAGAAGCACAAGCATGGGCTTGGTGTCGTCTGAGGGCAACGCAGCAAATTCGTCCTGGCTGAAAAGCGATGTTCGTGGCGGCAAGCCACACTTTTGTGTATACTTTCTCGCTTGATCAGTAAGTTCCGGGTCTTGAGGAATCTCGTATGGCGCGACCACGAAATCCATGGCATAGTGGCCGGAGAACGCGGCGCTGTCTGACTCGAAAATTTTACGTTTGTAGTGAATAGGAACAGTGTCATATTTCACAGTGGTCCAGCAAGTCTGCAAGTGCCCATTGAACAAGAAAGGGTTTAGGTTGCATGCTTCTGGTGTTGCAGACCGACAGACATCCACAAACGTGGTTTGTTCTTTAGCGCCTGAGGCACCAGAAACTTTGGTCAATGTCAACTTATTGTCCTTGGCGTGATAGAAAGCTATGCGGCCCTTGGGACGAAGCCATGAAATCAAACCCATGGCGATCAGCCCAGATAAGAGGACTGATAGGGGGATTGAATTCAGAAGTGTTGAAATGAGATCGAGCATGAGGGGTTTCTAAACACCAAAGAATGCTGAAATTGAGCAGATGCACAAATGGATATCCGAATGAAGGTCGTTCAACTCTAATATGCTCTTGAGAAAGAAAAAACAAACAAACAAACTGGCTTGAAAAGCAGAAATGCAAAAACGCAAAATACTGGATCCCAGGATCCAGGATAACAATCTTTGATACCAGACAGACCTCGGCAAAAAAAAGTTATGCTTGAATTTTCCATGGTTCAAGGTGAATAAGCCAATTTTATGCCACTGCACGTGATGCATACATCTATGCATATTCTATCAGGTGATCTGAGCTTTAATGTTGGCTTAGTCATGATTGTGAGGGGCTCGGGCCCCACTTGGGCAGAGCGGGCACACCTGATAATATGCGGGCTTTTTTGTCATACGCCAGTGGTCACTTGACGATGTCATAGCGCATACAGGGCCTGAGCCCAGACTTGATGCAGGAAAGCACACCTTATCTGGTGAAGTTGGGGAAAATCGAGGGCATTCCGCCGAATATGAAGTGATGATGAAATGATGCTCGATGCGGGAATCCGCTTTCCGCATGCGGAAGCCCTAAATTTCCTTCCGGCGCGAAGCACAGGGAGAAATCCCTATGTCTTCCGACAATAGCAATGTCCTTCTTATAATCAACCTAGATAAATGTAGGGTTGAAATGTTGAAATATCCGGTGTTCTGCATATGGATCATCAGACAAAGAACGGGCTGAGCCACCAATGATCAGTTCCTCCTCTTCTTTATATGTAATGCTGATAACATCAACACCCATATTTTGTGACCCAGTCCCATGGTCCGCTTCCGGGAACCTTTATCTTCCAGCAGACTATTTCAAGGTCAAAGGATCCATACTTTCTCTCTTTTTCCTTTGAAGGGGATGCAACACTGTTCGTCACACGATGCGTTTGATTTCTACTACAACATGATAGTCACAGTTGAAACGCCACCATCCATACTGTGAATTCACAAATCTCTCATGAGGCCTGGTCATCAAACATCTTGCAACGACCTTGGAACCAAGCACCCATGACTTTAATAAGAAAGTCCTCGTCCGACATGTCCGATCGTCTACACCGTGCCACGAATAAGTTCAAGACTATGATCAAAATGAGAGCCTGGTCGCCGAAACGAGCGAAGAAGCAACAGGAGGATGGCCATGGCCGTTGCTACCTAATGGAATTACCCACCGAGCTGTTGTTGGAGATCATATCCCATCTGACAGTGCTGCCGGAGGCTGCTCTTGCACTGACCAACAAGCGCATGTTCGCTATCTCCGGAGACATCCTGCTCTCTAAATCCCTCCGATTCAGTCGCGACTTTGCGCCGCTTTTCCACCATTACCGCAACGGACACAACTTTGTCACACCCCGGTGGTTATTCCTCAACTTGTTGGAAAACTCCCGCTGGAAACTATGCTCCAAGTGTTTGAAACTCCACCCTCGAGCTGCATTCTCATCTCGAGAGCTGAGGCGGAAGCCAGAGACTCGAACATGCAATGTTGGAGAGTTAGCAGGGGTTGTCGACCTGTGCCCATGCAAGAAATTAACCTTCCGCGACAAACTCGATCTCGCAGATCATGTTCGAGTGCGGCAGGCGGCACTGCAGCCCTTGAAATTAAATTTCGGGGCCGCCGTTGACGACAGCTACTGCTGGCATACATGCACCGAGCAGTATGGCCCAACCGAACTGAAGACATCTTTGTTCCCAGAAATCAATGCCGACAACCAGCTGACTCTTCGCACGGAATATGAACTCACCACTGAGTCGGGTCAAGTTGGCAAGGAAGATTATATGACACCCCGTTTCGGGTGTGCACATCGATCAGTCGACCTGTGGCTTTCGAGCGTTCATCAAACCACTATATGTCGCCTTTTTGACTCTTTCTGCTCATCCTGCAAGCGGATATCAGTCTGCAGCGCGTGTGACACGACGTTGACATGTCCACGAAAATCACCATTCCATTCTGAAAAATCGGGCAGAGCGACATATTCATTCTGGACGCAAAGAAGCCTTGGAGGAACAGGAGCAACTCCTGATATGGCTTGGGGAGCACAAAGAATCCATCCAGCCGAACCTTTAGTCAGTGTTGAAAACTGCAACGAGTTGTGTCCGTGGACAGTGCGTGAACATCCAGCGCTCTCATTCGCGCCGAGTATAGAACAGGAAATCATCGATTCTGGAATAGGTAATTCACCCATCAACCAACTGTACACATACATCAACATGGTTTAACGGATATATCCAGCTGCAAGAGAGGCCTTGGGAGCTTTGGCACAACCATAAAGAGTTGGTGGACCAGTTGGGGTTCATTTCTTCTCTCGTTTACGACTTTTGTCAGAATATATTGTATAGTGAGCGTCGTTTCAGCGTGTTAGGTGTCTTTTGTTAGCATTAGGTATTTAGCCATATCATCAAATAATTCAATCATTCAGAAAAGAAGTGATGGCCGTCTCCTTAACAGCTCTTCTTTCGACATCTTTTGTAAAGTTCTTTGTTGGAGTCTTTAGATACATATTTTTTTTCTTTGTCTTATTCAAGTGCCTCATTGACCGAGAAGACAACACAAAACAAATTAGGAATTGTCAAAGACGGCTTTTCCATAATTGTTCGGAGGTACGAGTCTACATGTAACTATAAGTGCCAGAATTTCCCTTGTGGGTGGGGCCTTCCTATTTGAGCTGCGGCCGCTTTTATGTGGTGCCCGGGCTTAGGCTCAGATCAGTGATCATGTTCGGTTCGGTCACGTGCGGAACGACTGATGCCCAGTGAGTGCTTGACAGCCTGGTATTGTGGAATCCTTCTGACGGGAGACAGCCTAGAGGCGGCCTAAGGGGCGGGTAGCCAATTCTTAGCCTACAACTATAGATTTCCAAGGTTATTATCGGCGGCGCCAAGAAGTCTGGGCGATGAACAAACCGCAACTCAAATTGTAACAAGCATGCCAGAGTCAGGGCCCAGCCAATCCCGTGCCGAGAAAGGACCTGGCCTCCCATCCCCTTTCCACGCTATGGCCAATACAAACTATGCAAAGAGGCTTACAGGTGCAAACAGACCCAGAAGGAGAGAGAAGGGCCAACCAAAGGCCGAGAAAGGACCCGACCTCGTATCACCCCTTTACACAGCATGGCTAATACAAACTATGCAAAGAGGCTTGCATGTGCAAACAGACCCAGAAGGGGAGAGAAGTGCCTATCCCATGGCGAGAAAGGACCCGAGAAAGGACCCGAGCACACCTTACGTTACACCACCAAACCATGCAAACCACACAAATCTCAGCCATGATAAACATCACTGGCCAGATCCAATCATCAGCCTATAAAGGCAGCAGCTTTTTGTTCTCTAGTTTGCATTTGTCGGAGTTAGGAGATTGTAGCAGCGAGTGCAAACATGATCCCTGGAAGTTTAGGGGTGGATACCGCAGACGAAGCATTGCCATACTTAAGAACGCTAATCATTGGCGATATATATACGGAGTAGACGGTTTTTTGTTTTCAATTAGAACTGCCTAATTGCAGTCCCCCACATCAGTTGGATATTCGGAGCTAGTGCTAGCCATATACACTTAGAGACATAATATGGCCGAAGTAAGAGATCCATCTCGGAAGTCGTCACCCACTTCGAGTAGCCCGGTACCTATCGCCGGGTCTGAAGAGTCGAAAGACGTATCGATACGCAATACTATGGATGAGGATGAGAAGAAAGCGGCTCCTCTAACAGGGCCTCCTAGTGTGGAGTATCCGGGAGCTATAATGGGCAGTGTTCTCACCATCGCCTTGCTGCTGGCCATGTTTCTGGTCGCTTTGGACATGGTAAGGACTATGTTTTTTTTAGGGAGCTGTGCAAGGAGGTAGCTAATCAAGTCTCCCCAGAGCATCATCACCACCGCTATTCCCACTATCACGGCTCGCTTCCATAGCGAAGGTCAGATGGGATGGTATGGATCCGCCTTCTTCCTTTGTTTGGCCAGCTTCCAGTCCTTTTGGGGGAAAGCATACAAGTACTTCCCCATCAAGATTGCCTTTTTAACCGCCATCGCTGTGTTTGAGCTGGGAAGCTTGGTTGCCGCCCTCTCGCCCAACAGCCCGGCCTTGATCATCGGCCGTGCCATTCAAGGCGTCGGTGGCGCGGGTGTTACCGGTGGCTGCTACACAGTTCTAGCGTTCATCACGCGTCCGAAATACCTACACGCGGTTTTCGGTCTCACCAGTGGCGTCTTTAGCTTGTCTTCTGTGCTGGGCCCCATCCTGAGTGGTGTATTCACCCAGTACGCGACATGGCGATGGTGCTTCTGGGTTAACTTACCCATTGGAGGTTTCGCAGTGATCATTTTGGTGTTGTTCTTGAAGATGCCTCCTCATTCTCGTGTTGCGCATGCTAAATTGAAGGAGCTCCCCTTCCTCTTCGATATCCCGGGCATCACTCTCACGGTGTGTGCGTTGGTATGTCTGGTCTTGGTACTGGAGAACGGCGGTGTCACCAAACCTTGGAACAGCAGTTACTGTATTGGACTTCTCATTGGATTTATCCTTATCGTTATTTTTCTCATCGCCCTAGAATGGAGGCAAGGTGAAGGGGCCATGATTGTTCCTCGGATCATCAAGCGCCGAACCGTTCTCGTCCTTGCGCTGTTCAACTTGACAGCACAGGGCTCTGGATTCGCCCGTATTTATAACCTTCCCATTTACTTCCAGGCAGCACAAGGCCAGTCACCATCAGAGTCGGGGATTCGAACACTACCTACAGTGCTGACAACCTGTAAGTAGCCTTCCCCGTTCCCCCTATCGCCCCGTCTGTCGTGATTCCTTGGAACTAACACACCTAAAACAGCCATATTCAGTTTCGCTGGGTCCCTTGCTATCGGCAAGGTGGGCTACTACCAGCCCTTCCTCATGCTGGGTTCCATGTTTGTGACGATAGGATCCGCTATGATATACACCCTGGAGCCGAACTCTGGGGCAGGCAAATACATTGGTTATCAGGTGCTGGCCTCGATTGGGTCGGGGCTCATCATCCAGCTCAACGTCATTGTGGCTCAGGCAATCTCCAAGCGGGTGGACATGTCTGTCACCGTGGGCACCGTTTTATGTGAGTCGTGCTGCGCACCGTCCTCTTTTGCTTTCTCTGGCCACACTGACTGACGGAAACCCTGACTCTCACAGTCTTCCAATTCATTGGCGGTACTATCGGTGTTTCAGCTTCCACGAATATAATGAACAACGTCCTTATTTCCTCGCTGCCGATAGATAGCCCGATATCTGCTTCTGATGTGCTTACCGCTGGTTCAACCAATCTGGCCAAGATATTCCCGGATGTCGCGGATCTCAACATTGTTGTTAACGCTTACATGAAAGGATTAAAGGCCGCTTGGATCTGGAGTATTGCCCTAGCCGGTGTTTCCTTCTTGGTTTCCCTCGCCGCAGAGCGCAAGAGTGTACGGTTGGACCATGTTAAAAAGAGAGCCGAGAAGAAAGCTGCGGCTGAGGCGGCGACTCCTTGAACCTGCGTGCGCGAAACCGTGTTGAATTTGGAGGGCTAGTTACTAGCAGACCCCTCTAATGGTATATTGAGAAACTTCAGGATAGCAGCAAGCGTGTTGGGAGTGCCCAATAGAGCCAAATCACCGCGGCTCTCGCAGGAATCATTGCTGCCACAAACAAGAGTCATCAAGATGGCAAATAAGGTGTCCAGAGCATACATAGCGCAGACTAGATTGAACCTCAGTGATTACCCAGTTCAAAGCCATAACGTATAATTAGCTACGGAATAGTTCATTTCCATAGATTCAGACAAAATTCAGACACGTAGTGAGGACTATGTTCCCCACTACAAGATGTACCTGAATCGAGAAGAGTTGTGTAATCGCAACATCCCTTATCAGCTGACCGCCCTGGGGTTTCTCCGGACCGACACGATCCACGCTCACCATCCCACGCGTTTGACCTGATCCTCGATTTATACGAGTATTGTCTGTTTCTCGGGGCGATGAGCTACCCACCACCTGGTCCCGGCCAATACCCGCATTATCTACCGCCGCCGCAGTATCAACACGGGCAAATTCCCCCGCAGATACTGTACAATAATGCCGGTCCTCCGCCCCCATATGATGCCTATGGCAAGCCAGCAATCTATCCTTCTGCTATGACACCATATCATTCATACCCATCGACATATACTCCACAGCCACAGCCGCAACAGCAGCAAACGCGTCCTCCGCCGCAAACTCCCCCGCAACAGCCGCTCCATTTACCACCCCAAACTCTCCAACCACGGCCACAGCCAGGACCACAGCCAGGGCCACAACTAGGACCACAACTAGGACCACAGCCAGGGCCACAACTAGGACCACAGCCAGGACCACAGCTTCTCCCTCAATTACAATCCCCACCTCCGCCTCAGCCACCTCCTCCCCCGCCTCCGCCTCTGCCTCAAATCCAACAAGAAGAGCTGCAGCATCAATTTGTCAATCCAGCTCAACTGTTTGTACAACAACCTCTGCCTACTGCTCCGCGATCCCGATACACCCAACTTTCTCCTCAGTATGGCGAACCACCTTTTGTCCCGAGTGGCAGTCCGTCCAAAATACCACCCGCTGCTTTGCCAGCTCCGCCACCAGTCATGCCTGTTCATGTTGCTCCTGTCCCATCTCCTATCACTCCTAAACCAAACACCCAAAACAAGCAAGCACAGCCCAATATCCATACACCGCAACCACGCCCTATCTTTAAAGCCGAACCCACGCCTGCCAAGATTTCTCCCAAAGTAGAGCCTCAAAAAAAGCCTTCTACGCTTATTGCAACTACACCCCTTGCGACGCCGAAACGACCCCAGCCTGCTCCATCGCCAGTGCCACATGCCACTCCGAAAGTCATGATCCCAGCTCCTTCCCCTGTTGTTCAAGCAAAAATTCAAACCCAGACTCCGAAGAAGCACCCTCAACCACAGCATATTGAAAAGAAGAGACAGCCGAGTCAGTCCAATGTCGAAAAGCATGGGAAGCCCACACCCTCCAAGTCTACGAAGCCTCCAGTCGACTATCAGGTCCTGCTTTTGTCCCTGGCTGATGAGTATCTAAATGCTGCTCATGCTCGTGGAACAACGACCTCATTGACTGCTAATGAGATGGACGTCGAGGAATATTACAAGCTAGTTGCTACTGGATTGGGGTGTTTGGAGGCTGTCCTGAAGGTTGGTGAAATGCTCTATTGGAGAAATTCTGCGCCCATGCTAAGCAAGTGATATGATAGAACTGGCGATTGCAACCTCGCAAAGAAGCTCTTGTTAGACTTCGCTATGCGCGTACATTGTTCGAGGAAACAGACAATGATATCGAAGCGGAAACGGCATTGAGTAAAGGGGTATGTATTTGTTTCCCTCCTCTGTTCCAGAAATAGCTACTAACTTGACACAGATCGATCTTTGTGAACGAGTTAGTCAACCAAAACCTAATAGTCAATTTGTTTCCTCTAACTGTTATAGAACCGTATGCTTGACTTGAAATACAGCATGCAGCACCTCTTGGCACGAATGCTCCACAAGAGTAACCCTAAAGCTTCATTGAAAGCGGTCGATGGAATGATTCAGGATGTGGAAGCGTATGTGCCATTCCACTCTCCTCGACCATAGGATGCTAATAGCTATAGGTACCGTCATGCCGCATGGGAGTACGCATTTCGTTTCCTTCGAGTATCACTTTCGTTGTCATCTCCATCACACCAAGACTCTGTGCAAGCGTTACAGCATCTTCACAAAATCACAGCTATGGCTAGTCGTAACGGGGACAAGGCTGTCTCGGCGATGGCGGCTGTCATTGAATCACTTGCACACTTGCAACAAGCCACAAATTCCGATTCTATCGAGCAGGCGCAGCGTGCTGTGGCCGCCGCGCGAAGCCATCAGCTGAATGACGAACTTCGCCACATACCTCAACTTACAACCTTGATTCAAATGGTCGATATCTGCTGTAGTCTTCTAGAGTACGATGTCAACCAGTCTGGGCAGAAGTTGAAGGTCATGCAGGCTTTAATGGACGAAACACTGAGCGACAGCAACTGGCGTCCCGATGGGTCATTTTCAGTCCCTCTCAACGGTAAATCCGCCGGGCCGTCGTCCATCGACACAGGTGACATCTTGCAGGTTCATAATGGGACATTGCTATTAAGCTTCAACTGGCTTCCTCAGCACGATCTTTATGCGCTTTGCTATTTCCTAAGCTCAATCACACTCAGTGCCAAGAACTCATATGATGGCAGGAAAGCAGAGAAATATCTTGAGGAAGGGCTTCGAATGGTCCAAGGCAATTTCAAGGCCCCCCAAGAAATTTCAGAATCCATGGTCAATGCCAACCGTCGAGTTCAGTGGCGTCAGTCCCTTTACTGCAACCTTCTCATTCAACGAGTCTTCCTGGCCTGCGCTCGAACCGATTGGGATCTTGCCAGCCAAACTCTCAACGACCTTCGACAAGTCTTCGAAGAGCTTGGTTCCAACCTTCCAGACACCATCGAATGTCTGATGGAATATGCCGCCGGCACCATCGCACAGGCAACTGGCGATCTCAATACCGCGCTGAACATATTCCAATCTCCAATTCTATCACTAGACCCCGCTACCAGCAAGACGGGACGCAATGACCCCTGTCGTGACACGCGCATCCTCGCCGGTCTCAACACAGTTCTCATTCTCCGTGATCCAAGTCACCCATCGCATTCCTTGCTCAGCGCCGTCCTAGCAACGCTGGAACCCTTCTGCCAAAGTAGTCCAAACAAGTACATACAAGCTGCCTACTACCTAGTCTGCGCAACCGTTCACTCCGAGTCAACCATCCAAACAAAACAGTACCTCCAGCAAGCTCTGCAGTCCGCCACCGCAATTAGCAACAGCCAAATCACCTGCATGACCCTAACATTCATGAGCTGGAAGTATTTCCGCGGCGTGGTCGGCGAGCAAGCCGAAAAAAGCGCTCGGGCCGGCCGTGCAATGGCTAAACGAGCTAATGACCGTATGTGGGCGAGCGTCACTGACGACATGCTGGCTGAGACTCTGGAGCGACAGGGCAAGGGCGAGGAAGCGCAGAGCGTCCGCGAGGAAGGCCAACGCTTGGTATCGGGTCTTCCGCCCCGTCTGAGACGTTCGGCCTGATTGGCTGTTGTCTATTGCTATAAGCATGATATACCTTTTTGTTTTTTATCTTCTTTCCCTTTGGCGTTTGTTTCAGAACTGTTCCTAGGGAGGCGCTCGTTTACGATACCATTTGATGGCTACCAGGGAAGGCGTTTGATATTTTAGGGATGCGAGCCGGGAAATGATGTTATTGGCGAATCAAGAGACTCCTGTTCGATACCCTAATCACAGACTTTCACCTAGCGATATGTGTAGGAATTCTTGAGTCGAAAACATTGATAGGATTCAGCTCGGGGCGTGTATATCACACCACCTCAGGAAGATCATGAATTGCTTCGCTCCCTATAAAAAAGAACATGAACACCCGACATCCATGCGTAATGTACAAACACTATGGTATAAACCAGCCTGCAGTCCACAGACCCAAGCTTGACCAGCAAAAGCTGGACGAAACCTCGAAAAAAAAAAGAAACAAGGACAACAGCACCGCCGAAGTCAACTCCATGCCCACAATACGCCAGCAATGTCCGCTGGGGCATCTCTCATCCATCCACAGAAGAAAGCCCCACACACCGCGAAATTAATATTAAACCCGAAAAAAAGCTGCAAAAATCAAAACAGTCACTAAAACAGCTCAACCAAGCCCAGCCCAGACACCGCGAATTCTCCGCGCAAGCTGGATATCCTTCTGCATAATAGTAACGCGCTTCGCGTGCAGCGCGCAGAGATTTGTATCCTCGAAAAGATGAACAAGGAAAGCCTCGGCGGCCTCCTGCAGAGCTTGGATAGCATGCGACTGCCAGCGCAACTCTGCGCCGACGTCGGCGGGGAGGAGATCGAGTGCGACTTCGCGGACTAAGCGTGCAAAGGGGAGTTTGGCGATTAGGAGGTCGTAGGAGCGTTGGTAGCGGCGGATTTCTTTCAATGCGACGGTGCCGGGCTTGTAGCGCCGGCGCCGGCCTGTGGGGGTTGGGTCTCCGGCTGCGGGATTGTTAGAATGGAGGGATTGAGTTTGTAGGGGATTGCGCAAGGAGAGTAGTGTAAGGCGCTCATTTTGCTAGTAGTAGGAGGAGGGTAGAACGTACGTTGGACGTTAGCGTTGACTTTTGATTGCTTTCCTCCCTTCGTCTTGCGTGCTTTTGTTGGTGTTCCATCTCCATCGGCGGCGGGCGCGGCGGTTGTCTTGCGCACCTTGCCTTTTTGCGCGCTGCCCAGTCCTGTCTTGCGAGCTGTCTTGGGTGGCATTGTGGTAGAGGAGGAACGCGCTGTATGGTTTTTTTCTGGGTAGTGGGGTCTTGGAAAGCGATCAATTGGGAGGTTTATTGCCTAGCAACCGGCGTCCTGCGAATTGCCGCGTTTGTGTCGAGATTGTCTCCCTTGCAGGAGCCGTGTCCGAGTATCGGGCGGAATTAGGCTGGCACACGAGGTTTAAATGAAGGGATTGGGATTAAAAATCGTATCTGCTAATAATTGGACAGTCTTTGTTTCGAAGGGAAGGCTGGGCGAGCTGTCAATATGAACTATTCGGGCCTTAGCGTCCCAGCCCCCGTGATTCTCACGTAAATACGCGTCTCGTGTCGGACACGTGACGATAAAGTGGCCTACCTGTTCTTATCTCCGTCATACGTTGAATATACCCCGGAGGGACTTTGGATAGCTCTCCGTGCTCGTGCTGATCATCCGCCCTCATTCCCGCCTCTCTCTGATTTCTGTTCTTGTCAGAAGTTACGACTGCCCCACATCATGGCCGCCCTCTGGGAGAACAATGGGCAACCAGGCCAGTTTCCCCTCGAACAATGGTTCTATGAGATGCCACCCGTCACCCGGTGGTGGACAGTAGCCACCGTCGCAACATCAGTCTTGGTGCAGTGCAACATCGTGACCCCATTCCAGCTGTTCTACAGCTTCCGCTCTGTCTACGTTAAAACGCAGTACTGGCGACTACTCACGACATTCCTCTATTTCGGGCCCCTCAATCTTGACTTATTGTTCCACGTATTCTTCCTGCAGCGCTACTCACGTCTTCTGGAAGAAACTTCCGGCCGCTCCCCAGCCCACTTCGCATGGCTGATCTTCTACGCCATGACATCTCTCCTTATCATTTCTCCTTTCCTCTCAATACCCTTCCTGGGCAGCGCACTTTCATCTAGTCTGGTCTACATCTGGGCCCGGCGCAACCCAGACACCCGCCTTAGTTTGTTGGGACTACTGGTATTCACTGCTCCCTATCTTCCCTGGGTGCTGATGGGATTCAGTTTGATCGTGCATAAGATCGTGCCGAAGGATGAGATGCTCGGCGTTGTCGTCGGCCATATTTGGTACTTCTTCAACGATGTCTACCCGCCCCTCCATGGTGGCCACCGTCCATTTGACCCGCCTCGCTGGTGGATCCGTCTGTTTGAGACCGCCCCTGGGCCAAACGAGCGCGGGACGGGTGTGGCTAATGTGAACCGCGAGTTTGTGGCTGCGGCGGCACCCGAGGTTCGATGAGCAGTATTTTTTTCATTGATCAAGCGTGGCTTTTGGTGAACGGGATCTTGATGTTCCTTGAGGCGTTGAATGGAAATTAAACTAGATCGCATTCAACAAGTGACAAATCTCACTGGTATAAGTAGAGCCCAGGGTGCAATGGGTTCAATCTTGGCATTGATCTTTGCTCAACGATGGCTTTGGGCCATTGATGTGAAAACCGTGAGCCGTGCATTGGGGGATCTGGATACCGGCGAGTCTCTTGACGCTTTTCATCTAAATCACGCCGGGTGAGACCATTCGACATTTGCCGAGTTTTGCGTGAAATATCGGTGATCATGGAAAATTGGCCAACTCGAGCTGTGTTCAACAGTGGTATGACGGAGACTAGCGAGTGGTCTGTCTGGAGCAGCTCCCTTTTATCTGATGATGTGGGATGTTGCCCCGTGGCCAAGTCCGATTCATGTGATCTGTCTAAAAGAAGCAAGGATTAGGACTTTTTTTTCTTTTGTGTTTACAAGAGCGTGCATATTTTTTTTAACATTGGAATAGCCACAGATACCCGAATTATTTTTCATTTCACCGCTATAACGCTTAGAGCTGCATGCAGACGTAGACGCAGACTTAAAGATGACGACATGTATCAAATTATGACACTCTCGCTATGACGCCAAGTACAACATACATGAGGATTTGATTTCGCTGTCCCTCGAGATAAGAAACTCAAACACACTATCTGTTTGTTTACTTTCACATGCGTCAAATTAAAATAAAGTAAACCAAGACCGTGTGATTGCATGCATTACTAGCCACTATCAAACCTCCTTACAGAAAGCAGCCAGGTGCATGATCATACTATCTTTGGACACGCCAAGTTGGATACAGCGTTGTGCGGCTCGATCTTGCATATGCATAGGCAGTCTCAACAACTAGGCAACATAATACATTGTCGCCAGCCAAGTCGTCTCACATCATCTCAATTGCTCAATTATTATTAGAAAGAGTTGTAACACGATCGAGGACCACGACGTCAGATCAAGCATGGCACGAGGCTATATAATAATGTTTCGTATATCGCACATCGCATTCCATGCAGCGCCCCGCGCCCCGTGTATTTCATGTATTGGCCCCGCCTTTCAAAATAAACCAATATGGCCATACGCAGCGCTTTTAATTAGGGGGTCCGGGCCCTACCTGCCTAGCTGAGCAAGAGCTATGTATATCCTAGTAAATTTCCGTATGGTACATTACATGTATAGCTTCAATCAATGCATCTACAACTATACTCCGTACAAGGTCGATAACCACAGAGTATAAAGTATGGACATGCGTTAGGCGCGCAATGCGAGTTAATATCGGATTTGTACTAAAGGAGTAATTCGTCGCCCGTTTTTCGCGCCCACATCCCGTTTTAAAAAATGGGACGGCAGGCGATCTGCAAAATGCTTGTATTTTAAACATAGCGGGTATTAGAAGTTATATGTGGGTTTAATCGGATTATTTGAAGGAATTATAACATATAATATACTCCGCACATATAATTTACATACATCGTAGTGTTAGTACATGGAATAGAGAAATAGAGATGTTGGAATTAAAGGTTAAGCCCAGAATCCCCCACGTCACATCCGATGCTGATCTTAGAATGGAAACCCGGAGAAGCAAGCTTGCGAGTGCCGATCCTGGCGGATGGTACTCCGTATGGGCGATGACGACCTCAGTGATAGGCACCAGAATTAAAGTGTTGAATCGAGATACAACGTGGTGAACCATGGGTTATTGGTGGATTCACTCTTTGAGTGGATACCTAGGTAGGCCCTCAGTTTTAGCGTACCACAGCCAAGGTCGATTATCGGAGGGGTCGGTACAAGTAGGTAGTGGGGTGTACGGAGTCGGTGCTCTGACAGTTCCCATGGGAATGGGTTATGCTACTAATTGTACATTTGTACATTTGTGCACAGTTGATAGGAGCCTTGACGGATTTCAATTGGTAGAAATGTTCCAAGGTTGCACTTTTCATATCCATTCCACACAACATAGTATCCACAAGCAAAATACAATATGTATACTTAGAAGTACGAATACGATTAAAGGCTAAAAATGGGGGCAATGCAGACCTCTAATCGCACCGTGCACGCCCCTGTGTGGCACACAGTGGCGGTTCACTTGGCAAATCGGTGCTAATTCCTACTTCTTGTGGTGGAATAACCTTGGCCGAGTCTGTGGCCAAGGTGGCCAAGGTTTGGTTCTTTCTTTTTACGCGCGGGATTGAATTCATAGAGATTATATACTTCGTACTCGGAAACTTATAGTGTCATAACTAAATTGTTCTTATCAAAGGGCTATGTGTGTACGGAGTAGTTCACGCCACAATCGTGGCGGTAGCAAAAATACATGTACAACCAATGTGCTTTATTGTATACAGCACAGCCCCGGATATGTATACTAACCTTTCGTGATCTATGAACAACATACAGAGTAACTACAACATAGTGGTAGCCTACCTAGGTAAGACACCTCGGAACTTGCACAAACTGCTAGGCTTCCGAGGCCGAGAAAGGTACGGTAGGGTACTCGCCTAGATAGGACTAGTTCAATACACCGTTCTCACATTGGCGTGGGGATTTTTTCCCCACGGCGCTATATTTACAAATATTTACAATACGATGACGAGTCCTTGCGCCAAACTTAGATTACTTTAGCGACGGTCAAATACAACATACATTTACTTGGTATAGATAGTTCTGGCTATATAGCACATATGTAGTTCCTATTACGTTCAACTAAAAACAAATTAAGAGATAACCTAAGTGATATCAATATTGAACTCAAGCTCAAATTCACCTCCATTCATACTAGATTGGTTTTTTTCGTTGAAATGAAATTGAAAAAAGAAAAAAGAAAGTTAAAAAAGATTCCCCTTAGTTGCCCCACCACCAGCCCACCAATTAAAACACGTTTCACCCGTTTAATCTTGGAACAGCCCTCTCTCTGCTCAGCCTCCGTAAATGTGCTCAACACCTTTTTTTTATCCCCTTCAAGGATGTGGTATCGTATTACTTCCCCTTCGTCACCTTCCCATCCTTTTTATTTTTTTTGCCTCATTTTCATTTTCCAATTTTTTAAACCCGAGGTCTCTCCTTTCCTTCTTTAGCTTTAGTCTCCCCACTCCCGTCACTCCTTATTATCGTGAACCTAGTCTCCCCTTTTTTTAAATACTCTTTTCTCCCTTTTATCGCTATCACCAAATTCTTATGATCGTTGCATTTTCCGTACTTTGACTTATCAACGGCCCGAGGGTCTGTGCAAACACTCTTAATACGACTTTACGATTTACAACGAATTGCTGGGGTTCAATTGGTTATTCCACTTCTCTTTGATCCTAGTCTTTCGCCTCCGCCTTCATCATGCGGCGCGGTCTCTTGATCTTCCTCCTCGTCAACCTCCTCATTCTCTCATTGCTCATTCGCAGTGTCTCGACGCTTCTATCACTACTAGTCGAAGATGCCGCGGCCGACGCTATTCACCGCGCGGAGCTACCCTCACCAAATTCAAGCCTGATCGAACAACGCCCCCAGATCATTCCAAAGATCATTCACCAAACATACAAGAATGAGACCATTCCAGAGGTCTGGGTAGAAGCTCAACAGAGTTGCATTGACTTGCACCCGGATTATGAATATATTGTACGACCATCACCCCCCACCCGTTCTGTCTCATTCAAGGCTAACATTAACATGTGTCATTAGCTATGGACAAACGAGAAATCGCGCGACTTTATTGCTGCAGAATACCCTTGGTTCTTGGACACCTTCGATGGCTACAGTTATCCCATTCAACGCGCGGATACTATTCGATACTTCATCCTCGCGCACTTCGGTGGAACATACATTGACCTCGACGACGTGAGTATACCCACGAGAGACCTTGGTGTGTCGTTGCTAATATCAATTAGGGCTGCAACCGTCGCTTGGACCCTCTCCTAGCTTATCCCGCCTGGGTACGCCGTACCGCCCCCACCGGCATCTCCAATGACGCGATGGGCTCAGTACCCCAACACCCATTCTTCCTCCGCACGATCGAAGTTCTGCAGCAGTACGATCGCCACTGGGTCCTCCCATACATCACCGTTATGTACTCAACCGGACCGCTGTTCCTTTCTGTCATTTGGAAAGAGTACATGCGCGATGGACCGAGCGAGGCTGGGCGCGTGCGCATTCTCATGCAGGACGAGTACAACAAGTTCTCTTGGAGCTTCTTCACCCACCACCGGGGTAACAGCTGGCACGGCAAGGATGCGCACTTGATCTTCTGGGTAAGTGATAAGAGTCCAGGTATCGAAATCTTGAACCAATGCTAATACCTCACAGATGGGCCAACACTGGGTCTTCCTCACAGTCTGCGGCTTCCTTCTCGCTGGAGTCGTCGGATTCTGTCTCTGGTGGAGCTACGGACGTGTCATGCTCCTGGGAGCCAAATACCGCTACCGCTACTCCAAAATCCCCAGCATCATCAGCCCATCGCGAGCTTCAACGTCGCCAACACGACGCTCGCGACTCTCAGTCCCGACAATCCTACGACGTGTCAGCTTCAAAGAAGACGAAGAGTCAGGTGGGGTCACAGAGACCTCGTACGAACTCGGACGTCGCGATGACTAGAGATCTAGAGATTGACTTCTCGACTCGCAACTTCGCCATTTTACAGCTATTGTATTTGTCTGTAAATGGCCTCGGACATGATCTCTGCATCAGCATTTATTGTACAACTTTTGCTCTTTCTTTCTGTGTTTAGGAGCGCATTTTGCATGGTGTCTCAATCCTGTGATGGGATCCGGGATTGAATATTCACCTGGAGCAATTGGGTTTGCTTTTTGGACATGTGCGCAGACCCCCCAGTGTCTATGTATCTTGGTTCTGTTTCACTGTCCCTCATTTTCATTATTTTTTTTTTTTTCCTATTGATTTGTAAACAAGTTAGATTTCGCTTCTCGGGGGACAGTGGAATTATTTGAACATGTCTCCGTGTACTCGGATCAGATATCTCCGGGGAGAATTACGAATCAATAACGTCTTTCCACTATTTCAATGAACTCCAAAGTAGAGAACTGGAATCATAGTCTGTGAAACTATGTCTTAAACCCCCTGGGAATCTGATACACCAACCTCAAAACACCAATCCTGAACCCTAATTTCTCCAATGACAACACCGTGCCTTGCATTGCCACATCGACAAACTTTCCAAATGATCCTATCAAATCTGGAGCATAAGTCTTTTTAAAAATAGCACACTATGTAACATGTTCTTTTGTTTGAAGTAAATAGCTCATCTCATTATTTGGCGTTGTTCCTTGGTATTGGCCACCGTCATCTGACATACTTCAATCCACTAACTAGCATTCTCCGCGTCTAGCCAACAATGTATATAAATATATACAGTGACGGACCATAAGTTTCAGCACCCTCTGTTCTGCCCCCCCTAGTTCCACCAACTAAAAGCCTATAATTTTGAGCGGTAAGACTATCTAGGAAGGCGGTATCTAAGGAGGGTGCTGAAACTTATGGACCGTCACTGTACATACAAACAACCGGGTATCTTACTCCGCCTCCTCTTTGTATGTCCCAGCTGCCTTGGACAATGCAAACCCTTCTTGCATGGCCCCTCCTCTGACAGACATTTTCGAGGAATTATAAAGATGACCTGCTGTGCTGCCCTCTACCCCATCACAGAACCAAGATTTCTCTTCTATACAATCCATCTATAACAACTATTCGTCCTTGGCTCTTGATCTTGACCCCTACATGATATAGTTAATCACTCATCCTTATTACACATAGCCTACTCCATCCACCAAACATCTACAAAATGCACCTCCAAACCCTCCTTCTCTCCCTAACCCTAACCCTCACCCTCCAAACAACCGCAACACCACTCCCACTCTCCCTCCTCACCCGCGACGCAGCCCTAACGGAATCCCAACTCATCACCATCGCCCCCTCATCCAAATCCTGCACAGACGCGCCAGCAGAAGGCGAATGCGCCACAGCAAAACAAGCAGCTAAATTCACGTCCCAATCTTTCGATACATACAAAGTTACCTCGAAAGCCGAGCAAGCTGCTGTGGTCAGTCTGATGGCGTTTGAAAGTGGTGATTTCAAATATAATAAGAACCATTTCCCCGGCGTTGCTGGACAGGGCAGTACGTAACCCTAACTCTTTCCTGCAACATCCATATCCATCCACATACGTGTATACATCCATCCTAACCCTTTTCTCATCTTCCAGCACGCAACATGCAATCCCCATCCTTCAATAAGAAATACGCCTCCTCCCTACCAGAACTGCAAGACAAACTCCCAAGCGTCAGCAACAGCCCGGCAGATCTACTTGATCTCCTGCGCAGCGACGGTGCAACGGACTTTGGTTCCGGTGCCTGGTTCCTTACTACGCAGTGCTCGAAGGAGGTACGGAGTTCGCTTGCTGATGGTTCGGAGGCCGGGTGGCAGAGGTTTATCTCGGATTGTGTGGGGACTTCTGTTACGGATGAACGGAAGGAGTATTGGGAGAGGGCTGTTAAGGCTATTGGTGTTTAGATTCTGATTATTAGGGCTTGGGGTTTATGATTGTTGTGGTTTGTTGGGTTCTCGGAGCTGGTTCTTCGTTCGATGTTGATGTTGATTACTGCGTTTGCCAGGTTGGACACTTGATGTTGATGATTGATGGATTATGGGAAAAGGATTTTAGTATACAATAGCTATGAAATTTCATCCAAAAACCCAATTTAATCACGTTCATTTTCCATTTCATAGCCAGCCATACGACTCACTGCACCTCTCTATAATTGGTATTGGTACTATGTAAAAGCAAACCACCACACTATACATCAATCTCATCTCATTCATAAACACTTTTATATATCCAAACACACCCTTACAAAACACCCTTAGTACTAACGACATCCCCAGCACCAACATCACCAGCAACCCTCCGCTTACAAGCATTGCGAATAGCAACAGCAAGCGCCTTAAACGCACTCTCCGCGCGGTGGTGGTCATTATCACCGTAAGTGCAACCAACATGCAACGTCACGCCCGCAGCCTGCGCAAAGCTCTGCAATCCATGCGTGATCATCTCCGTGCTCAGGTCGCCGATCTTCTCCCGTCGGAAGCCAAGGTTGATAACAGCCCAAGGTCGGCTGGACAGGTCAATCACGGCCCAGGAGAGTGCCTCGTCGAGAGGCGCATCGCCGCGACCGAATCGCTCGAGGGATTGTCGGGCACCGAGGGCCTGTGTGAAGGCCTCGCCCAGTGCGAGGAAGGTGTCTTCTGTTGTGTGGTGGTCGTCGACTGGAGGTGGTTAGTACTCGCTTTGGTATTGACAATCGCATTCCATATTGTAAAGTTTATGGTTTATGGTTTATGATTTATGGTTTGTCGTATGTGTATATGTTGAGGGGGAAACTCACTGTACAAATCACCCTTCGCCCGAACCGCAAGACTCATCCCGCCGTGTTTGGCAAGCGCATGCAGCATGTGGTCAAGGAAGCCGATACCGGTGCTGATAGTGATCTGCTGGGTCGGGGTGAATTGTGTCGCATGGCCGGCATCCTTGGGTGGCACAATGCCTTTCTTGGAGGCTTCGGCTTCTTTGGGGTCTGTTGGGGCAGGGAAGTGGGTTGAAGGTTCGTAGGGTGGGAGGACGCCGCCGTCGAGGGAGAGGGAGATTTGGATTTTGGTCTCGTTGGTGGACCGGGAGATGGTCGCTGTGCGCGCGGCGAGGGACATTTTGAGTGTAGGTATTTGGTGGAGGTCGAATAAACTGGGAATTGAGTTGGTGTTTGTATGGAGTAGATGGTTGATAATCGGGTTTCTTTTTTGTCTGACTCGTCCGCTGGAGAATCGTTGATCCGTACTTTAGTATGGAGGCGATAACCTTGGGAGGTATACTTGAGACCTAAGCTTAACCGGTTTTAAGACATTGGCTGGTCCAAATCTTTGTTCTCGACATCCTTGATACCAATATTGTATTTTGATATTGCCATTGAAGTCTGAAACACACATCTTTCTTTGGGCTTGTCTTTACTTTGTTTATCGCCTCGCCGAACTCGGCTTCGATAAGCACCGACATCCCATCTCAATTCCTTTCCCAAGTTAAACTCGCGCCTCTTGTTCGCATACAATTACGACTGTACATATACATAACAAAATGCCAGCACCGGCCAATCACAGGAGCGAAGTTGCTCCCCCAGAGGAAATCACCTCGATGGCCGTCCAAGGCTTCATGACCGGCGTGTTCCGGGTAAGCCCCCAGACCTCGAAATTCGTATTTGTGAAGCCCTAGTGCAATCGCTAATCTCGTCAAGTTTGGCTCCGTGTCTATCTTGGCTCACATGATTCTTGCCCTGCCCCACCCCTTCGTCTTCTCCGCACCAAGTCCGCCCGCGTATCCCGCGACACAACCCCGTCCACGCCCATCCATCTTCTCCCGCGATTATCTTCGCTCACGACTATTCCACCGCCCCCTGGAAGGTTTCTCAAGCTGGATTTCTCCCGGGTCCCGTGTCTACCGTGGTCTGACGCCGCAGTTCAAAGTCTTCATACAAGTTGCAGCTATGACTCTAGGTGGTTGTATCTGGCAAGAAAAACGCGTGACGGAGTATATCGAGTTGCTGAGACAAGTTAAACGAGCGGAGCGACTTGAAGCTGAAAGGGCGGAGGGGAATCGTCGGTAATGAAGAGATTCAAGATATATCGCTATCGCCCCCTGGTCTTTGCAACGATGCGAGCTTGGAGCTTGGAACAACTTGCCGTCACCAAACATAATACATTCGCCACTCTATTGAAGTACCTCCGGATGAGTCGAATCTCATTTCACAGTCATTTCACACCCCTGAAAGGCCTCGCAGAATTGAGGCGAATACTTTGTAGCTGCCCCCGTCAAACCGCTGATCCCGAATGAACTTCGTCACTGATGACGCTAGATTCCTGGGGATATGGGGATATTTCCCCTGATTGCCATGCTGATCTATTGTGATCTCCCTTTCGCGTGGGCCCGAGAGATTGTCCCTACGGAAGCAGCATCTGAAGTGCCGTAAGCGCCGATCATCCTTTTGGGGGTGGATCCTAGGATGCAACCTATGATGCTATACTGTTAATTTCAGTGTAGATCGTCTAAGAGAGATGAATGATGTATGGAGTGTATTGAGTACATCGTATGTACTATGTAGCTTCTAAGGTTGTTCTGGAGTACAAAGAAGGATCAATGATCAGCACTGATATGCCGAAGATGGTTACTAAAGAGGAGTCAAATTTAGTTTCTACTGCACTAATCCCTGCGATCCCAACTATAACGGCACTATCAAGTCTAGTGGAACGCCTCTTACGTGCTGTAGAGATATGCGACAAGGCGCGAACGCATGTCTTAGGTTTTTCTCTTACTTTGGGGTGTAAATAAGCGATAGCTTAAAATGTAAGCTCAGTTGATCGGGTTAAAGTCGAATCTAAGATTGAAATTAGAAATTTTAATTAAAAATAACCGATCAAATAGAAAAATACATCTCGTCAAATGAAAAAAAAACATTGGGAAAAAAAACACAGCTGAAACATCTCCAGTTGATCATTACAGTTGAACCTGAACTGCATCCGTCCATTCCTCTATTCTTCTCTTCCTCCTTTTCCCTCTCTCTCTCTCTTTTTTTTCGAGGGTTATCCCTGTGGATTCATTGCTGTTTTCGTTTTACGCATTCGATCGGATTTCTTCTTATCTTCCCCTCTAGCAACCGATCTCACACCGGAAGGCCCTATCACATCACATCAGATCACTGATTTGCCCGATATCACTAATATTGTGGATTCTCCCCCTTCCGCAACCATCACCTCATCGCATTGTTGACAGCTCCCTGTCTGTGCTTGGGGAAAAGCTATTCTAGAATAGGGAAGAATTTTCCTGGCTGTTAGCAATTGCACGCTAATTGCTTCTCATGGCGCTGTGACAGTCTGCAGTATGTGCTACCTTCCCCTCATTCTTTCTCCACTTCATTCTTCCTTCCATGCTTTCAATATTGCCCGTCATGTCTTTTCAAACTGCTAACTGATTTTCCAGTACGAACGACGTTGAGGTCGTCGATGAGATAAGCTTCCTTTCTCAGTACACTCGCGCCGCTACCCTTCCAACATCTTACGCAACTCCCCCTGCTTCTGTACCACTAGTTCCTCCCTCCTCCACCAAACTAGACATGGCTGAAATCATCGGCAAACGACAACGAAGAAAGAGCCTGAGCGTCTTCAGTCCGTCCCTCACAATATCGACCTCCCTCCGACCTCCACTCCATGACCGAACACCCTCGGACGATACCTTGACCCGAGAGAAGAAAAGCCGTCGCAATTCTGGCTTCTTCGGCCGGTCTCACAGTCCCAACATAGGTCCAGATGCGTCGAATAACCGCCGCCCGGGGACAGCAGGCTCCGATACCGCTGGCTGGTCAGCAACCACACCCGTCAATGAAACAACACCGCGCCCGCGAAGGAAGTCGCTACAGAAAAAGCGAACCTCGGTTTTTGGATCTCTGAGATCATTGCACTCTTGGGAGGATGAGGAACCTCTGAGTACCTCCCTCGGCTCGGCGGTAGATGAGCAGACCATGGTCAATCCCCGAAATGGGATCTGGTCATCTGCAATCCTCCACTACGGGGAAGTTCAGACGACTGGAGGCATGTGGAGGAAGAAGAGTCAATATTTGGTTCTAACAGATACCCACCTCATTCGCTTTAAGAACCAAAGCAAAGCTGCCGATGTCTTTGGTTCTATCCCCGCGTCTTATGCCCGGGCTCCGGCTTCCCACCGCCAATCAGTGACTTCAGTCACATCTCTACAGGACCCGCAATTACTGGCTTCTGGAGACGCATCTGCCGGAATTCCATTAAACAGCATAATTGCGGTCTACATGCTAGAGGATGCACGATTGTCCCCATCGGTCGAAGTGGCTTATCTCGATGAGCGCACACACAAAGCCACATTGGTTCAAATGCAAACGGCTGATCTGCAAGAATTGAATCTTTGGATGGTGGGCATTCGCCAAGCCGCCCAGATGGCAAGAGCAAATTGTCCAATGCCATTTAACAGGGGATCGATTGAGTATGTAACTCGTATGCTAGAACACGAGCGAGATTATGACCCGGAGGTGTTCCGCATGTTCCGGGTCATTCAAATCGCGTCCAGCAAGTCAATAACCCGATCTTCTTCTGATGACTTGACCAAGCTGTCGCCCACGGGCTGCTATCTTGCCATCGGCGCACACAAGCTTCATATGCTACCCATGCAGAAGACAACCAACCGATCATCGGTTGTGTCCCTCTCAGACTGGGAGGCCGGTACTTCGTTTGGTCTGATGAACCTGACTGGTTTGTCCATGGAGTACGGTGACGACAGTCTGCATCTGACGTTTAGGGTTCCTCTCAAGAAATCATTCAATCTGTTCCTAGCCTCTGTTCATTCCGTTGAAGTCGCTTGTTGGATCCGACAGCAAACTGAATATCTCCGTCCATTGTGGATAAGACAGCCGTACGAATTCGTTGTTCCGAAAGAACTGCAAAATGACGACAACTTCCCGCCTGTTGATTTAGATGAAGATTATGGATGCTTCGACCGAACGCTGGTCGCTTACTCCGCCAGTTATGACATCGATACATCAAATATTCGATACACAATTGACCAGGAATGTGAGGATGCTCCATGTTTCCGTCTTCTGAAGCCTGCTTCCCCGAAAACCTTGCGGTACAGCGCTTTAGAGCTCATTGCGGTCATGCGCACACTTCGCTATAATGAATTCTTCCGGTCAATCTCGTTCCGCGGGGTCAATCTCGATGCATTGCAGGGCCTTCGTGATATTCATGGGGTGGATTCCGACGTCCATCTTGACCGAGGAGGTGCCTCCGTGCATATTCCAGGCCAGGCGAATCTGACTGTTCTCTCGCAAGAGGTGCGAGCTTTAGCTCTGAAGAGCAAATGGCTGCGCCGACTCGACTTCTCTTACTGCCTTACACGGGTACCGACACCAACTCTCGACAAGGGTACTCGTGATCCAGGCTGCGGAATTCCAGAAGCGATTTTCCCCGTGTGCCGCCGAGAATTGACCAGCGTGGACTGGGTTGTGCTCAACGGCATCAAGCTGGGTGAGTCCGATCTGGACTATCTCGTCGATGCGGCATCCCAAAGGCGCAGTCACCTGCGAGCTCTGGAGGTCGGGGACTGTGGACTATCCGTGCATGACCTAGATCTTCTTCTGTCGACTATTGTCGCACAAGAATCAACGCTCGAGGCAATCAACATCTCAGGCGTGCAGGGCCGATTGAATCCCGATGTACTCCAGCAATACATTGGCTACTTCGGACAAATCCGCAAAATCAACTTATCTCGCATCTCACGGACATCTGGCAGCGACCCGCTCATCACGGCCGAAATGCTGTTCAACTGGCGACTTGAAGAGCTGGCTCTCAGTCGAACAGTTGTGAACCGCGAGACTGTGGATGCCATTGCTACTTACCTAGCTAGCGATCGCTCTCGAAATCTCCGTGTGCTTCGTCTTGATCAGTGTGGTCTAACCGGAGAAGATGTGGCTATGTTTATGCACTCGATGTCCGTTGGTCCCGATGCCCCGCGCAGTCTCCATCTGCATGTCAATGAGAACCGCATTGACAACGGCTGCTCCCACGTTTTTAACGCTATTGCGAAGAATCAGACCCCTTCTCATCTGTCAATGCGCATGATTGATTTCAAGAAAGAAGACCATTTCCGTGAATTGGTGGATTCCCTTCGGAAGAACAGCAGCCTCAAGTTCTTGGATATTTCGAAGGCTTCTCTACCATACGATGCTAGTCCTGAGACTTGCCGCTCGTTGCAGGTGATGCTCGAGGATAACGAGACTCTTGAGGCTTTGGACATTAGCGGTGACAATGCACATCTTGATGTTGCACGCTTCGGTATTGGTCTTAATCTTGCACTGACTGGCCTGAAGAAAAACACATCTCTAAAGGTACTGAGAATTGAACACCAGAAACTCGGTCTTCAAGGTGCAAATACACTTGCCTCTGTCTTGGAGGAGAATGATTCGCTTCGTGAAGTACACTGTGAGAACAATGATATCAATCTGCAGTCCTTTACGGTGTTGGTCAATGGCCTTCGGTGCAACCGCTCCCTTCTCACGCTCTCCTGCATGGACCGCGATCGAGTCCTGTCGCTGGACAAAGTACGTCGAGAGGTTGATAATGTTCGATGGGAGTCTGGCAACAGCAACCAATCCTCCACGGCAAACTCGGTCCGTCGCTCTCTGTATGCAGCGATGACTGTTGGTCAAGGGGGCCAAGGGCACAGACTGAGCAAAGCACCGCCGCCTAGTGTCGTCTCGGCGTTGGAAAACTCTCCATTCGCCAACCACAACGTTGAACTAGTCTTGCAGTCTCTGAACGAGAGATGGGACATGGAAGTCTCCCGGCTTAATCGATACCTCCTCCGCAACTACAACATTGCCCATGGGATTGAGGAAATTGATGATTCTGCCAGTGATGGACGACCCGGAACAGCAGCAAGCCTGGGCACTATGCTTGACAATCTCAAATTCGACGTGTCCGTGTCGGCAGATGAGATCCGGTCGTCGCCACCAGACGAGCCTCCTGCTGTCATCCGACTCTCAGAGGCATCCGACACTGCATCCCAGTCCTCTCCAAATACTGAGACCACCCCAGTCCAGCCAAGACGACTTCCATCCGATACCCGCCGTCCTCATACCGCCGCCCCTGCACAATTCGTTCCATCCGGTCATGGTTCTTCAGCCCAAGCCTCTCGCCTAGCTTTGCCGGTTCCAGCCGTCCCCCCAGCAGTCGGAAAAGCAGAGAGCGTCCGCAGTGCACGCAGTGCACGCAGTTCTTCCAGCAACGCCTCAATAGGTGCTGGCAGTACGCGCAGCGCCTACGGCGTCGCCTCCTCTACCCTAAGAGGCTTCCTCAGCGGCACCGCGTTGAGGGAACGTCGCCATGCGGATGCAGCGCGCCCCTCGCCTGTGTGCGTCAACAACGACAAGCCGCCTCAGTTAGACTGGGCACCACCAAAGCTTGACTTGGGAGGGCTCTAGTGGCCTTGTACCCCATCACCATATCAAAATAACCCCCTCTTCCACCTTGTACAGCATCCTCCACATCTCAACCGAACACGAAACGAAGCCTGGCTTCTGCAGTACATATATACGACGAACCAGGTCTCGATTGCATGCCCTTCTACTCTTTCTCCTATTTTATTTTACTCATAACTCACGCCCCCCCCCCTAACAAATTCCTATTCCTCGAAACCGGCCAGTCGGCACTGATACCCTGGCGTTCCAATTTCTTTTTACAGAGCCACCGCATTCTCCGGGCGTTCCATACTCATTTTCAATTCCGTTTGCCAATATCTCTTACCAACGCAATCGATATCCAATCAATATCCTATCCGTTTCGTCGCTTCTCCTGATGTTCTTTGTTCTCTTACTCTTATTGGGAACTGCCCTCATTTTGCGGGTTAGTGCGTTCATCTATGGCTAATGTTTATTGGGGCTGAGGCTGTCTGATACTTGTATTCATTGTTGTGGTGTCTTTGCGCTTGTTCGTTGTTCCTCATTCTGGGAGGATGGAATACTGTTTGGATAGGCATTAACACCATTGTTCCTTTCTCCTTGGTTTTTTCTGGTCTTGGGTGAGACTGAGTAATTGAGGCGTATCTTGTCAGGGAGTTGCATAATACATAGATGCTATAAAACATTACTATGTTGATATTTTTACGTCTTAAGCTTCACGAAGAAAATGATAGAAGATCCAAGGTCGATATATTATCAATCCCTATATATCTCACTTCCCAACCAGGTAACCCTTTGTACATAGCTGAACGAGAAACAAAAGTATCCAACCAAAACGCAATTCAGTCTAACTATGTAACAACCCAACGCCATGAATGTATATCTCAAAATAAAATACAATGGGAGAGGAATTAATCTAATACTTTACAAAACGGAATCCCCTCTCCCTCCCCCAATCCCGCATCTCCTAAACACAACCCTGGAGAACCTACTAAGATGATCACATCTTACTAGAATCCTTATAAACAAGAATCCCATGCTGGCGATCCTTCTCATCCATCCGCTTCCGCCAAGACCGACCTTTATCAGTCAGCCTTTTCAAAGTCGTAAAGAAATAGTGTCCATGATCCTGCACATTCCTTCGCAACGCGATATTGCGACGTTTCTTGCACGCCCGCAGAATATAGTTACTCTCATCCACAGTAAGCTCGTTGAGCTCGTAGTCAATAGTCCACCTATCGTTTTCGGTGAACCATGTCGGCCGCAGCACGGGAACGTCGTTCACCCTATTCTTCACCACAAGTGTCATCCCGAACGCGTTCTCGTCGTAGTCGTCAAACTTGGCGGGAATGCGCGTGGGGACGTTTTTGGTCGGTTCGACCGGGGGTTCCGGGATCTGGGAGAGCTCGAAGGAGGGGTCGTACTCGGTCTTCTCGGCTTCGGTTGGCTCCTCGCCTTCTTCTACCGGGAAGAGGGAATCCGCCAGGGATTCCGCCAGGGATTCTGCCGAGGGATCCTCCTTTAGAGAGACGGGTTCGAGTTCGGGTTCGGGTTGAGCTTCGGCAAATCCACCCTCTGCAAAGACTTCGGCTTCGATTGAGTCATTTGGAAGGAAAGACTTGGGTTCGGCTTCGGTTGGCTCTTCGTCTGGGTAGATGGCTTCATTTTCGACTGATACTTTAAAATCCTCCTCGAGCTCATCAAGTGGCACGTCCGCGGCTGCCTTCGCGCTCCGGTCTATGAATTCATCCGGGTTGAGTAGACGGTCCTGGATGGCATCGATGTGGGCTTTGTTCTTTGTTTGGATGGCCTCGATTTCCTCATCCGTGACCGGCTGCGCGATGATGTTCATGTACGGTACATTATCTTCGCGAGTCTCGAAGTGGAAACGTAGAGACTTCTTGGGATACTTCTTTGTTGCCTTGTCGAGGATCTTCTCCCACAGACCGAGACTCAGTTCGAATTCTCTGTCTCCGAGTGCGGTGTTGGGCGAGCCGTGCAAAGCCTGATCCATCTCCTCGAGAGGGATGTATTGGAAACCGAAGATGCGCTCGATGTTGTGGTACGCGACGAAGATGCCGTCCATGCGGCCAACGCGGACCTGTAGGGAATACTTGAGGAACGCGGCGCGGATCATGTCGAAGTATTCGCGTTCGTAGGACTCCCACTTGCCGTAGCGGCGTCTGATCTCGTAGCCCATTCCGCGCTCGTGCTCGATGGATTCCATGCGGATCGAAACCACTGCTCGTGTTTTCAAGTCGAACATGCCGGTACCTGGTAGTCTGGGATCGTATGCGTCGAGTTGGGATCGCATGAGGAAATTGCCCACAGTGCTGTAGTGGTATGACTCTGGGGTCGCTGCTTCTTCCTCGGCAGTGATCTTGTTTGCATCGCTGCGGCGATAGCGCTCAAACTGTTCTTTGGGCATCGTGAGTTGCTTCTCCATTGACTTGCCCAGGTTCATAAGAATATTAGCGTAGTCGTATTCCTTGTCGGCATCAATGGCGTAAATATCCTCCTTCTCATTATAACGGAGGAACATGGCAGTCGGCGCTCGAAGAAGACGGGTGAAGGTCCGCAAAGGCTCATCGAAACCCTGAGTAATCTTGCTGGTGTCGACAGGCCGCCACGCGGACAGAAGATAATGGAAATGAGCGAGAACTGAAGTCATGCTTGACGACGAGCCGTAGTACTTCTTTTCATTTTTCTTGGTTATTTCGCAAGCCGTCACATCTTGAGAGGATGTGACATATGGCTTCAACGTACCAAAGTCAAATTCCGTCACGGGCATGATCTGGTCGAGGTAGGGGTCGAAATTGTATACATGAGATCGAGGGTCACGTAGCTGGTAGACACCGGGACTGTTTGATCTTAGTATATCGATCAGTAATAGGGTAGACTCAACAACTCACTTGAAAAGCACTCGGTCGAGACCAAAAGCGACGCGTGGGACAGGAGGCATGGGGACATGCACCTCTTGAGCGGGAAATTAGCCCACATTCAACAGTAATGTTAGAGTTCAAAACTCACCTTTTAAGCGCAGGTTTCCGTCCTTTGTGGAAAGACGCCCGCGTTCCTTAGATATAATATAGTCCTTGAGAAAATCAAGGACTTCCTCCTCTTCTTCTTCCTTCTCCTTCTCTTTCTCCTGATTCTCTGACGTATTCGGAGCTGTAACACCGTTCTTGGAGCTGGTTTCCAGTATTTGAGCCACCACATTGCTAGTGGACCTCAATTCAAGCGTGCTCTTCTTGGGTTCACTGGCTGCTGGCGTATCTACTGGGCCGTCTGTTGGAACAACGGCTTCGGGTTCACTTTCTTTTTCCTTCTGCGATATTTGAGCCCGAATTTTGGCATCGGCCAGTCGTTTTTCCTCCTGGATTCTGGCCTTTCTTTCCCGTTTGGCTTGCATATCCGCTGCAATCACCTTTTGTTGTAAGGCCTTGATTTTTTCTGCCTCCACCCGTGCTGCCTCTGACGGTGCGGCCTCTGATGGTGCGGCCTCCGGCAATGCCCCCTCTAACGGTGCTGTTTCAACCCGCTCCGCTTCCAACTTTACTGCTTCGGGGAGTGCAACCTCTCCTTCGGCTGACGTTGACGCCTTGAACTTTTCGAAGAGCGCACGACGCCGTTTTCTGTAATTGTTTTTCTGTGAATGGCTCATCTCAGCCCATACGGAAGGAGTAAGCGGTTTTGCTTTACGTTGAAACAACAAGTGTGTCTGGCTTTTGGAATCGGCATCTTTTGTCTCTGGAGTCTGACCCTATAGTACACGCACTGTCAGAACTTGTTTTCTCACGTTATACTTTGGAATGGAGGACATGCATTGGATGACGGTGGCACTGAAGGCTCGGTTGACGCGTCAAATGAATCGGCTTCCGGTTTGATTTCGATTGAGTCGGTACGGAGTGCAGATATGCGGTGGCATTGGCGCAAACTGAGCGCGCCAGGGCGCGCTAGACTGGGGAGACAAACATGTCGGCTGGAAGGGCCTGACACAGACCGCAAAGAGGTCCGAAGCATTCAGGTCAACTGTCGAGAGATAATCTGGGAAATGGTATAAATGTAGAAGTCTCCAAAAAATAGTGGAATTGAGAATTCGAGAATTCCAGAGAGCCGTCAATAGGCCACCGGGCGAACCTCGAAATTGCCTCTCCGGTTTTTTTTTTCTGCTGGAAGATTGGGGTCACCGCTTTCTTATCTTGGGTGCCTGGATGCCTGTATGCCTGAGGCGGCTAAATTGGATGTTGGATGAAACGGCAGTAGAAACATTGGATATTGATCTTTTTATTTGATAATTTATGTATGTTTCTCATATTTCAATTGATGTTAAGTTGTATAGTGTTATAAAATGACTACAAAATCCATGTCTCTTAAAGTTATATTTTGCTTTACTCATTCATTTGCAACTGTATAGAATCCTTCACTCTTATCTAGTTTTACTATTATTATATAAAACATATAAAATCAATTCTAAACTACCAGATCTATTCAATAAATTTAAATACATTCAAATCCACCTTTAATTACAACTACAAAATATTTGCCTCAGCCGAGATCACAGGGTAGAAATTCTGGGGTCGGAGAAACACCCAGCCGGAGGGCAGAAAAAAAGTTGGAAAGTTTAACATCTTCAAATCTCCCATTCCCCCCCCCATATAACCTTGGAAGTTGCTTCTCAGGTCTCTGTGAGGTAAGTCAAGTGTTGATTTTCTTATTATCACGTCTTTCCCAATTGTTTGACCCATTCCATTGCTCTACGACTCGGTTTCCTTGAAGGAGGGGCATTACATACCCCGCGGAGGTTTTCTATATACTAATTGCTAACACCACCATAGTCCAGACGCTTCTCCAACCATGGCTTCCGAACAATTGCGCATCCTCGTTGTCGGCAATGGTGGCCGTGAGCATGCCTACGCCTGGAAGCTGAGCGAGTCTCCTTTGGTCGACATTGTCTATGTCGCTCCCGGAAACGGTGGCACTGGTCTGGGTACCAACAGCAAGATCACCAATGCCAATGTTAAGGGCAACGATTACCCTGGCCTCGTGGCTTTCGCACAGAAGAACCAGGTGAACCTCGTGGTGCCAGGCCCCGAGGCACCTCTCGTTGATGGCATCCAGGGTTATTTCCAGGCTGGTGAGTCACGCATGCCACTTTTTTCTTTCTTTTTTCTAGATATTTTTTTTGTCCTGTACCAATCGCTTTGAATGATTTTAACAATGCCTTTTAAAAAATAGTCGGCATCCGATGCTTCGGTCCCTCCAAGGCCGCTGCCCGCATGGAGGGCTCCAAGACCTTCTCCAAGGACTTCATGCAGCGCCACCAGATCCCCACCGCCGAATTCGGAAACTTCTCTGACTACGAGTCCGCGCGTCGCTATCTCGACTCTGTATCACACAATGTGGTGATCAAGGCTGATGGTCTGGCTGGCGGTAAGGGTGTGATCATGCCCACCACCAAGGAGGAGGCCCACAAGGCCTTGAAGGAAATGATGGTCGACCACCAGTTCGGCGAGGCTGGAAAGGAGGTCGTGATCGAGGAGTGCTTGGAGGGTGATGAGCTGAGTATCCTCACTTTCAGTGACGGTTACACTATTCGCTCGCTTCCTCCAGCTCAGGATCACAAGCGCATCTTTGATGGCGACCAGGGCCCCAACACTGGTGGCATGGGCTGCTATGCGCCTACGCGCATTGCGCCAAAGGAGGTTGTGGATGAGATTGACCGCACCATCATTCAGCCTTCCGTTGACGGAATGCGAAAGGATGGTACGTTTGCTTAAAATATGCATTCCCAAAGCATGTTGCTAATCCTGCCTAGGCTTCCCCTTCGTTGGTATCTTGTTCACCGGTCTCATGATGACCAAGAATGGACCCAAGGTCCTTGAATACAACGTCCGCGGTGGAGACCCAGAGACCCAGACTCTGCTTCCCCTGCTCAGCAAGGACACCGATCTTGCACAGATCATGGTGGCCTGTGCTGACCACTGGCTAGACGGTGTCTCGATCAAAATCGAGCCCAACTTCTCCACTACCGTTATCGCTGTTGCCGGCGGCTACCCCAACGCTTACGCCAAGGGCAAGGCCATCACTCTGGCCCCCGCGCCTGCTGGAACCCTCATCTTCCACGCTGGCACAACTCTGTCTGGCAACGAGTTGCAGACCTCTGGAGGCCGTGTCATCGCCTCCACAGCCACCGCCTCAACCCTTGAGGAGGCCGTTGCTAAGAGTTATGAGGGCATCAAGACCATCAGCTTTGAGGACATGTTCTACCGCAAGGACATTGCCCACCGCGCGTTCCGCCAGACCGCCAACACCTCGCTCACTTACGCCCAGGCCGGTGTCTCCATCGACGCCGGTAACGAGCTCGTCAACCAGATCAAGAGCTCCGTCCGCCGCACCAAGCGCCCCGGCACTGACGCCGTCATTGGCGGCTTCGGTGGCCTCTTCTCTCTGCCCGCTGCCAACTCCGTCTACCACCCTCACTCACCAACCCTAATCGGAGCCATTGACGGAGTCGGCACCAAGCTCAAGATCGCCCACTCCATCGGCATCCACGATACCGTCGGTATCGATCTCGTCGCTATGAACGTCAACGATCTCGTCGTCCAAGGTGCCGAGCCCCTCTTCTTCCTGGACTGCTACTCCTGCGGTCACCTTGACGTGCCCACCGCTGCGGCCTTCGTCACCGGTGTTGCCGAGGGCTGTGTTCAAGCCGGCTGCGCCCTCATTGGCGGTGAGACCGCTGAGATGCCCGGCCTCTTCGTCGACGACTCCTATGATGCCGTCGGTGCTGCCGTCGGCGCTATCAACACCACAGGCGACAACGCTCGTGCCATCCTCCCGCACACAGAAAACATGCGCTCCGGCGATGTCCTTCTCGCCCTCGGCTCCTCCGGCCCCCACTCCAACGGTTACTCTCTCGTCCGCAAGATCGTCGAGCGTGCTGGTCTGAGCTACACCGACCCCGCACCTTTCTCCATGCCCGGCCTCGACGCCGGCGTCTCCGTCGGCCGTGCCCTCCTCACCCCTACCCGCATCTACGTCAAGTCCATCCTCGGCGCCCTCAACACCCACGGCTCTGCCATCAAGGGTCTTGCCCACATCACCGGCGGTGGTCTCACTGAGAACATCCCCCGCATGCTCCCCGATACCCTCACTGCTCAGGTTGACGTCAGCACCTGGGCCCAGCCCTCTGTCTTCTCTTGGCTCCAGCGTGCCGGTAACGTCTCCTCTGTTGAGATGGCCCGTGCCTTCAACTGTGGTGTTGGTATGATCATTGCCGTCGACCCTGCCTCTGAGGCTGCTATCCGTCAGACCTTCGAGGCTGCTGGTGAGTCTGTTTACCGCGTTGGTGAGCTGCGTGCTCGCGCCGAGGGTGAAGAGGGCTGTGTGCTGTCTGGACTTGAGTCTTGGTCTGCGTAATATCTACGATATTGACGTTAAAATTTGGTGATTGGGATGTTGATTTGATGCATGATGCTTTATATATGGATGGAGAAAATGATTTGCCTGGGTTATCTATCTTATAGATTCTTTTTTGTTTACTGCTTCTTGTTCTGGTTCTTCGTATTCCCCGTCTTTCTTCTCTTTCTGGGGCTGCCTATTCATAATATAGGGCTTTTCGATGTGTCCCGAACTAACGCCGGTTTTCCTACACGATGCATGAAATTATATATACCGTTTGGAAAGAAAGGAATTTCATTGATATACATACATACGTATTGGATGTGTGCTGTCACGCTGAACCGATACTCTCTCCTACACCTATATAAATCAGGGCACCTCTCTCTCACTCCCCATTCTTATCCCCCCAGACTCTTCCATCATCATCCTCATCATCATCTTCTTCCCTCAACACCCCCATCCTCACAAGGAAGCGGCCTTGAGTGCACAAATGCACAACCCAACTTCACAATGCAAAAACTCGACTCATTGAGTCCATCCATCAAACGAACCTCCATGGTGGAGTACAGAGATGACGGCGAGTACTGGACTACGGCCAGCCCTGGAGTATCGTTTCGGTGTGGCCATCGCCGATGAGGCCCATCGTGTCAAAAACAAGCAAACTGCTCCTCACCCTCTCTTCCTCCCAACCCTCCTCGCTCTCACCTCACTCTGTACTCACCTAATCCTTTTTCCAACTCACCTTCACCTTAAGTCCTCTCTCATCTAAAGCTTTCCTACATCCCTTTCACATCCCCCCTCTCAAACTCCCTCTCAAACTCCCTTCTACTGCCATAAACAAGTTCCTGCTCAATCTACCCCATCACCTCGCTCAGCGCTCGCATCAATGCCGGCAATAACAGTCAGCGAACAATTACCCATTTCCGAGGAGTGAGAGCTGAAAACCTCGTGGCAATGATATGGCGATCTACGTTTACTTCAATCTTAGTTGTCAAAAATCAAAAATGGATATCACGTTCCATTGGTGGCCTATTCATGGAAGTGAGGAACGAACCGACTACATCCCAACCATATCACACCCATATCCGAGTCAGCCACAAGGATACGGCACATCCCCAGGGTGGAAACAGATATCTCCTCCATAATGAGATGCTGAACGTTATTCCCTCTGGGCACATTTTCACTGTGGCAACACCAAACTCAGTGACCCATCCACTTCCATAGTAGGAGTTGTTAACAATGCAATGGCATCTGAGTCGCATCGCCAGTATGCAAGGGGCTGGCAAAGACGAGGATACTGATCTATGATATTACGCCTAGCGGCCTTGAGGATTTGTGGTAATGGTGTGGAAGAAAGGGTTATATAGATTCAATGTTGATATATTGTCTCCTATATCAGTTTCCTTAGTGCCCAGCATATCTACATGAAATAATTGAATGACGGTAGAGACGTACATCAACCATGATAAAGATCTAATATAGAATGGCCAAAACAAGTATGGTTCCTTAAAAGCCAGTAATGCATAGAAGACATAACGATCCAACAGGCGTATTTCTAGAAGAATAAAAGAAACCGTGAATGGAAAATTTTCAGTCAAAGTCGTTAAAAACTACGGACAAAGTCGGGCAATTTGGTTGAAAAGGCAAGGGGCTAAACAAAGACAGACGTCGAAGACGTTGAAAGAAAAGGAAAACGCAACCTAATCCCTATAGCCAACCAACTCCATATACATCCTCGCCCTACAGGTACAGCGTTGTCGCCGAGCGCCAGAGACCCGTCCAGGCAAAACGATCAGAGATGGCGGACGGGATAGCGGACTTGAAAGAAGAAAAAAAAACAAGGGTAAAAGGTAAATGTTTCAAAGCAGAGATGGATGGATAGAGAGATCGAGGTAAAGAGTAAGGTAAAGAGTAACAAAAAGAAAACGACCGACTCTATTCCACTAAAATCGAGATTCCATTTTCAGGCTATCCGCTTGATAATGCGAGTCCAACAACGCTTGCAATCCACCAGTGCCTCCATCCTGCTTTTTGATACACCAGGAAAGTACGAGCGAATACGAGTAGTAAAGTGCTGCAAGAAGCTTAGAAGCACTTGCGGTGAACGATGGAAGGACCGCTCTCGTCGTACTCCTGCTTGGAGATCCACATCTGCTGGAAGGTGGACAGGGAGGCCAGGATGGATCCACCGATCCAGACGGAGTACTTGCGCTCGGGGGGAGCGATGATCTTGACCTTCATGGAAGAAGGAGCAAGAGCAGTGATCTCCTTCTGCATACGGTCGGAGATACCGGGGTACATGGTGGTACCACCAGACTAAAGAGAGAGAGAGGCGTTAGTGGGGATCTTGGACAAATTCAACTCTGGAGGGCATTTCTTACCATGACAATGTTGCCGTACAGATCCTTACGGACATCAACATCACACTTCATGATGGAGTTGAAGGTGGTGACGTGGATACCGCCAGACTCAAGACCAAGAACGTTTGGCTGGAACAGAGCCTCGGGAGCACGGAAGCGCTCGTTGCCAATAGTGATGACCTGTCCATCGGGAAGCTCGTAGGACTTCTCGAGGCTGGAGCTCTGGGAAGCAGTCTGGATCTCCTGCTCGAAGTCGAGGGCGACGTAGCAGAGCTTCTCCTTGATGTCACGGACGATTTCACGCTCGGCAGTGGTGGAGAAAGTGTAACCGCGCTCAGCGAGGATCTTCATCAGGTAATCGGTCAAATCACGGCCAGCCATGTCGACACGCGAGATAGCGTGGGGAAGAGAGAAACCCTCGTAGATGGGGACGACGTGGGTGACACCGTCACCGGAGTCGAGAACGATACCAGTGGTACGACCGGAAGCGTACAGAGACAGAACGGCCTGGATGGAGACGTAGAATGCGGGTGCGTTGAAGGTCTCGAACACGATCTGGGTCATCTTCTCACGGTTGGACTTGGGGTTGATGGGAGCTTCGGTCAAGAGAATGGGGTGCTCTTCGGGGGCAACGCGGAGCTCGTTGTAGAAGGTGTGGTGCCAAATCTTCTCCATGTCGTCCCAGTTGGTGACAACACCGTGCTCAATGGGGTAACGGAGCGTGAGGATACCACGCTTGGACTGTGCCTCATCACCAACGTAGGAGTCCTTCTGACCCATACCAATCATGATACTGCGCCCATGTTAGTATTCTTTTTGCTTCATTGGGGATCAAATTGACTGTATATTGTGTATACGGCCAAAATGTGCCACAAAAAAAAAGGGGGGGATTATTTACCCATGGTGACGGGGACGACCGACAATGGAGGCTGTTGAATTATGTCAGTTATTTGATTCTCGGGTTGAAGGTTCTTCCTAGCCAAGCAAAAGAGGGGAAGCCATCCGACGCAAGGGTTGGTGGGATGGCGGCCTTCGCAAGGAGGGGTGTCATATTCTGTGGGGTTGAACTTACGGAAGACAGCTCGTGGTGCGTCGTCACCGGCGAAACCGGCCTTACACATACCCGAACTACATCGCATATCATCAGTATCATAGTTCTCATAGTCCTTGGAGCGCCATTTGGTAATTTTGAAGGGAGGTGGAAAGCCATTGGGATGGATTCCATCTCCCGTCGTGGGCGGATTAGGGGTGGCAACGACCGCGACCGGGCTGGTTTAACGACCAGGCCCAAACACAAGCCAGAAGCTCCCGGGAAAAACCATAGCACATACCCATTGTCGATGACGAGAGCAGCAACTTCTTCTATAATGGGATATACGGGTTAGTTGTCATTCGCAAATCGGACTCGAAGCTGTGGCAACAGGGGGGGCAGCTTCCGGGGAAGCTGCTGATGTGGCCACATCCAGAATAACATACCCTCCATTGTGACAGAATAAACAAGGAACCTGGGGGAGAAGGGGGGAAAAAAGAAAAGAAAGATGGAATGAGGTTAGAGGGGATATAGTTGGGATTAAGGGAGAAGGGAAGAAGGAAGAGAGTGAGAGAGAGAGAAGAGTGGAGAGGGGTTTGTGATGGCTGGGATTGTGCGCTGCCTGAGGCCTCTTCTCTTTTTGACCCCCTCCGATCTACAAGTTTTGAGGGGGGTTTTCTTTCCTTTTTCTTTTATATAAGTTGATGAGAAAAGGCAGAACTATTTTCAATTTGAATTCTTCACTGCCCTTGATTCCTTCAATCTTGTCTACCTAAAGGCATTGCGTGGACATTCTTAGGGATGAGCCTCCAGACCCTTCTGGGTACGGGGAGAACACGTACCTTGACCAGGTTAGGCACTCTAGGGTGTTAACTTGGATTACAATGATTACAATGACCATGTCAGGCATACAAAAGGCATACAATTGTAGTCCAAATGCTCCCCGGTAGGCTCCTGGATTCCCCGTGGCGTAGGTGTTCTAAGTATAGGACACAGACCCAGACTTCAGCCCTTGGGGTAGACACTCGTTCCAAGGTTGTTAGAAGTGGACACGCACACACATTTTTAATGCGTATAGGGGATAATGGGGGATAATGGAGGATAATGGAGGATAATACGGTCTGAGACTCTCAGACCGTCACTGTCACAATCATTGATCTGCCCATGTTACCGCCATTTCCCAGGGAGAACAGCTAAGCCTCTTGTGATGGTGAGGCGGTGAGTTACTGCCACGTGACATCCGAAGTACGAAGTGTACACCTTCTTTTCTACACTATACCCCTGACTGTCTCCCCTTACTATATGATCTCCTGATTTTAGAATGCAAATCATCCATCAGCCCATTTTGACCGTTCTCATGGTAGAAAACCTTGCCATTTGACTCCTCTATGAGCAAAAAGTTTTCGAATCCGAACTTTAAGCCCCTTGAAATATATCTTGGCAGAGGCTCGGCTTTGATAACCGGATTCTAGTACATTCCAAGCTTTGATAAACTACCGGGCAAGCCATCAAGTTATATATCGCAGCCAACTCGGAACACGAGGGCCCGATTATTCCCACCTACTCTCGAAGTTGGTTGAGAATTAGAGTCCCCGAAAGCCCGAATGTTGGATATAACGAAACAGCAGTCAACTTGGCTTGGATTCTGCATCCTTGAAAATGAAAATAAGGACGAATCCGTACAAGCGGTGCTCTCGGTTGCCTATATTTCCGAATCCGAGATGACTAGCCCCAAGCTATCCGCTCAACAGTTCTAGCAACCTACTAATGAACCTGAAATCACATCAAACTCAAAGCCTTAATTGTGCCTGCCGAAACAAAACCGGTGACAGCATTCTTTTAGATCCTTCTAATCCTCTTATTTCAGGTAGCCATGAAGCAACTAGAACGCTGTAAGTTTTCAGTGACATCCGTATACGAATACGAATATGAATTAAATATCAGTGGCATCACATGGGCCGACATTCGGATCTTTGAAAACCATGGAGTTCTTAACTTTATGATGTCAGGGTTCTTCAAGCATCTTCTGGAGAAAGCATTCAACTCTGTAGTGTAATCTATGATGCAGTCTAGTTCCTCTTCCGATGGTTTGGGATACGGTCACATGATCGAACCCGCTGGTCGCCGCGCGAATCACCCAGAGCCATCGCTGGCCGAGGCGTCAGATTATGTCAGCATGTCTTTTTTCCAACTGTAGAAAAGTATTGAAGGAGGATCACGACTCTAACAATACTGTGTGATACATAGTAAATAAATTCCTGACCTACGATATATACTCTGTTCCTACTCTCCTCTCCTTCAGTCTCCCCCAAAACCCAATACACCCTACACACCGACAAAACAATTACCCCGCCAGCCCACCATGGACCCCGAAATGAACAAGCTCCTCAAATGGAGTGTCACCAACTCCCAGGCATCCGCAGGCGCTGATGGCGAGGGCAGCGCCCCAAATCTCCCAGCGGCTGCGTCAAATCTGACCCCGCAAATGGTCAACACACTCTTTGGCGGCCCCTCCGAGGCCGACCTGATGCGGGCCGCGATGGAGGTCGTGCACGACAACGAGTCCGACCTGGAGAACAAGTTGATCGCATTCGACAACTTCGAGCAGCTGATTGAGGGAATTGACAATGCGAACAACCTCATCCCGCTCAATCTATGGAAGCCGCTTGTCGAGCTGCTCAAGCACGACGAGGCCGATATCAGACGTATGGCCGCTTGGTGTGTGGGAACAGCCGTGCAAAACAACCCCAAGGCACAGGATAAGGTATGGAAGACTCCGATTGATCTCTAATCCATGATAATCAAAATAACTAACACATCCGCCAGCTCGTCGACCTAAACGAAATTCCCACCCTCGTCAACCTCGCCACTACAGAATCCAACCCCGCAACCCGCAAGAAGGCAATTTATGCCATCTCCTCTGCAGTCCGTAACCACCAGCCCGCCTTGGATGCGCTGAATAAGAGCCTTCCAGAAGGCTATCCCACCGACAAGACCGATGCCGGCGACATGGATGGTATTGATACTATCATGGATAAGCTGCGGTCCCACCAGATTGACGCCTCGGCATGAAGGGAGCAAGCGGTGGCTGGACTGTAAGAGTCAAAATACACAAAGACACAGAGGCAGCAAGATACCCACTGAATGAATACGAGTCCGTCCTTTGGGACTAGCCTTGTGTCATGCCAAGGGCTGGCGCTCGCAGTGCGACGGGCAATGTTGTTACTGCTACTGTGTTGAGCGCTGTGATTACGACGCCAGGTTTCGATACCGGTAAATGCCGGCGATTATTTGACGTGCGGATACCCGAAATGGTTCTGCACTGGTTCCTGGTTACTTGGTTGCCTTAGGGTTGCATCGGCATGATCGAACAACCTGTTTTTTTTGTGGTCTAAGCATATATTTGAATTGTACATACCCAGGGACTTTTGTCTCACATTAAATGCGATCATGAGTTTCGATGTCAATGTCAAATTTAGATGCCTGAGTCTGTGTATCTGCATCGGTGCCTATGCTGCCTAAAGTGGACTGTTTATTGTTATAAAAGTGTATTGTAAAGAACCAAATATATTCTCTATCGTAGCTCATTAATGAGAGAAGTCAAGAAAAACAGAAATCAATTCACTACAAACTAGAGCTCATATTGCCCATGCTTGGTGATATTCATAGATATCCCGGAACAACATTTCTCCACCCAGACATCGTCATTGGACTTTAGCTCTCACCAGCAACCTCCCCTCAACCAAGACCCCATCCCCCACACCCAAAAATGGACAGCTCAAGCAACCGACTCTTCCGATTCTCCAAGCCAGAGTGGCTGAATAACTCTGCCGTCCGCAATGGCGGCGTCTACGTTGCAGGCGCCCTGGTAAGCATCCGATCCACCCTCCTCCACCTCCACCCGAGACCAGGCTCGCGCGACATGCCCCAAGCTCGAAACCTTCGTCCAAATGAAATGGAATTGAATCCTAGATCTCTCGTACCCAAACCTAGAACTCTTCAGAATCAAAAGCTAACAAAACAACCCTTACAATAGTTCGCAGCAGGCTTCTTCTTCCTAATCGACGTCGCTTCATTCTCGCGCAGCCCGCGCAACGGCTCAGACGTGCATATCAAATTCGTCGACTGGATCCCCGGTATCTGCTCCGCGCTCGGAATGCTGGTTATCAACTCGATTGAGAAGAGCCGGCTGCAGGCTGATAGCTTTAGTTACAGCGGGAGTGGGGTTGCGTGGAAGGCGAGGTTTGTGCTGTTTTTGGGCTTTGCGTTGCTTGCTGGTGGTTTGGCTGGGAGTGTGGTATGTATATGTCCTTTTTCCCCCTACTATTCTGATACTCCTGCTCTGTGTGGGGTAGGTATAGTGTTTGGGGCGGGCTTTGCTGACTCGCTTCTACGTAGACGGTTATGGTTCTCAAGTACCTCATCAAGGATTATCCTATCCAGACGCTTTACTTTGGAATTGCGAATATTGTGGCAAATGCTCTTGTTATGCTCAGGTATGTGTTTTGCTTGTTTGGTTCAATTTCATTTGATGTGAAGTCGTAATGCTAACAATGCTATTCCTGATCTAGCTCTATCGTCCTCTGGGTCTCTCAGAACATCGAAGATGATTACACCTACAACCTTGCCCTGTGAGGTGGGCTGTCTCAGTCTGTGGCTTGTGGTTCTGTATTTTACTCGACTATCTTGGTGTGATGACTTTTTGCCGCGATGCATTATATGCACCCGCATCTTTGATTGGGGTTGGCGCTTTAGCATGAATTTATTTGCATTCCTCTTACGTTTCCCGTGGGCTCGAATTATGAATATCAATCAGTAAGATATCAAGGTATTCTACAAGCACACAGTAAAAGTAAACATTATCGAGGGAAAAGTATCATTGCAGCTATGCATGAAGAAAGGAATGCCGTAAGAAGAACCGCCGCTTGAACACCAAATCCCATATATGCATTCATAAAATCGTAAAGATGCCCATCACCCACATTACCTCCAACCCCTTTCAATGCTCCTCGCAGAACAACCTCAATAACTCATCAATACAAGTCATAGCCTTCTCCTTCTCCAAGACGGAAGGCGCCAATCCCGGCGCCTGTTTCAAATACCGCCGGAGCGCAAAAGCAGCAGCTTTGTAGGTCGCATGGTACATAGCCTTGAACTCATCATCATCCGCAGTACTCCCCGGCGCAGGCGTTTCAGCACGCAAAGCCTCCGGCGCTGGCGTCGTCCCCGAGACATCAGCTTCAGGTTCCGCACCAGCACTCCCTGGCGGCTTCCCCATTGATGCAGAGCGCATATTCGCACGATGGTATCCATACAGACGCATACAAGTCAGGATCGTGCGCGTGATGAGATTCTTGTTCTCCGCAATCACAGTATCAGGATCCTTAGCCGGCGAGCCAGGCGCAGACACCGGCTTATCCTCGGAGAATGAAAGAGACGACGGCCCCTGGCCCTGTGACATGTGAGCTCCACGACGCGGGCCGGAATCCAAGAATGGGTTCGGTGTTGGAGCACGTTTTTGCGGGTCAGCATTTAGGCCTGGCGTTGCGCGGCCGCGTACGCTACCTGGGCGATGGAGACCTGCTCCGATAGAGACGGATCGGGACCGGTGCGAGACGATCCGGTCGAGGGATGGAATGGTAGGACCGTCTTCTTCGGGCTCGCGCTTGATGCGGAGGGTTTGTAGGTTCTGTGATGAGGAGAGAGGTCGCGAAGATGCCATTAGTTGTGAGACGGCTTCGCCGCCTCGTTGGCGGACGCGGCGGTGGTGTTGTGCGGCTACTTCGAAGAGTGTTGCTACTCTTTTGCGTTTTGGGCTGGGGGAGCTTATGTCTGGTAGGAACTCTGCGCAGCGCGGGTTGGCGATGGGCTGGTCTGAGTTGGAGGGTGGTGGAGATGGGTAGGCTTGGCCTTGGGTGAGTCGTGATGTTGATAGTGGTGCGGCGTAGATTCTGAGTTCGAAGGGAGCTCGTTGTGATGTATTGCTCTGATCTGGGGTCTCAGAGGGGGATGAATGTGGTGGGGTGGGTGGACGTGTGCATGATGCTGCGCTGGATAGCACGCCGTAGACTAATAGGCTTGTTGGGGTTGCGTTGCCTGATTTAGTGTTGCCTTCGACGCTGACTAGTAGACCGACTGGGCATTGAAAGGATTGTTGCAGTGCTGGATCTTCTTCGTTTAGCCAGAGGGCGCCGGTCAGCTTCCTCTGGAGCCATTTTGATGTCCCCGCGTGGGATGTGTGAAGCTCGAGGTTGGGACCGGCGCGTGCATGCAGTGGGATGAGTGTTGGGTCGACGAAGCTGCGGAGACTGAGCTGGGACTCTTTAGATAGCTCGGACTGCCAGTAGGAATTTGGATCGACCAGTCGAATCCCTGGTCAGGTGGTCAGCGAGGAACAGGATGCGATACGCGTGTGGTTTACCTTCTAACTTGGAGTCCGAGCTGAGAGGAATGGATCCCGTCCAGATATTCATATTTTTATCTGGATCCAGAAAAGACCTTTCATTGGTTCAGCATAGTGATATCAATTTGGTATAGTTGTGTTGTTTCCAAACTGATCTGCTGTTATCTCCGAATCTCTGCAGACGCGCCGAATCCGCGCGCGGTCACGTGGATCACAAATCAGGCTAAATAAATCAGTCAAAAGGGAAGAATTGTGTATAATTTCAAAAGCTAAGTAGATTTGGAGATCTGATTCCTCATTTTTCAGTAGAATTATCTATATCCATTGGGTTATAGTACACCTAGAGTAGCACAGCCAGGTGTTGGAGCCATCGCCATTTAAAGTGAGGCACACCCCGCACCAAATCACTCATACATAGCATATCAAGCATACGCTGAAGTCAAAAGAAACAGTAAGAAAAAACAGATATCATCATGAAGGCCTGATGCCGCGAGGCCTATTGGCCTACAGTATAGGTGTAGTCCTTGGCAACCCCGCGCCTCATCCAGTCTGGGAGATCAGAACTCCTCCTGTTCCTGGAAGAACATTGAGAAACTAATAATGGTGCCATAAATCAATAGGCCTCCGAAAATGGACATGATCATTGCTGGGATCTCGATTGCGCCGCTGTGGGCGAGGACGATAGGAAGTGCTAGACACGTCAGTTGAATAATCGTCAATGGCGCAGTGATAAGGCAATTAGTATAGACATTATATAGTCTAGACACCAAGAGCCGACCGGCCGATGGATGATATGTCCCACTAGAGGGGTTGTTGTTGAATCAACGACGTACCGATACCAGTAAGAACCAAAAATCCGGTCAGGAACCGTCCAAAGTCCATTGCGGAGTTACTCGAGCTGTCCATGAAATCATCTGGGTTTGCGCATCGTTGGCAGATCCAGTTGGGAAGCGGCGCAACAACGTAGATGCCGACCACGAGCAGCGGCCAGTACCTGTGCCATAGCGCGGAAGAGAGGATAACGAGGAGGAAGCCAATTGCGAGCACCTGTTCAGACGTTAGAATATATTTAAAAGCCAGGCGAATAGCGAAATGTAGCGTACAAAGGACAGGGCAATGATGGTCTTGAGTCCAGCGGCCATGATTGCGGAGACGCCGAAAGCCGATCGATGAGACTGAAGGTGGGAGGGGTGGGAGTTGTTGAACTGGGTGAATCCAGGAGACAATATCAAGAGCAGATCAATAATGACAGCCCCATTGGCCGAGTGCGGGAAATCAAAGAAGGACAGTACAGCGACAAGCTGGAGATGAGCTCGAGAATGAGTGACGTTGGCGTCTGAAGGTCACTGGATATTGTGGCCTCAGGCACCAACAGCTCATGCTTCACACCGCGTCACTTTACTGCCTGGTCCAGCTCCCCCATTCTCCCTCCATCACCGGATTATCCCTCGGATTCTTGAGTTGCTGTTCCTGAATCTCTATTTATCAACAAGAATCCACTTTCTCTATTTGCTTTGATATCCATTCCACCCTTTCCGTCACGATGTTCAGAAACAATTACGACAACGATGCCGTCACCTTGTAAGACCAGGTCCCCGACCTCCCTCGGATCCATCAGATGCTAACTCGAACGATCCCAGCTCTCCACAGGGTCGGATATTTCAAGTGGAATATGCACAGGAAGCAGTGAAGCAAGGATCCGTTGTCGTGGGATTGGTGAATAAGACACATGCCGTGCTGGTTGGACTCAAGGTTCGCAGACCTACAACATAAAACGAACAGACTAAACCGTCGAAACTAACATATAATCACCATCTAGCGCAACGCAGAAGAGCTCTCCTCGTATCAGAAGAAGATCATCGAGATCGACTCGCACATGGCGATCGCCATCGCCGGCCTCGCATCAGACGCTCGCGTCCTTTCAAACTTCATGAAGCAGCAGTCCCTCGGCTCGAAGATGACCTACGGCCGGCCCATCCCCTTGGACCGAATTGTTGCCCAGATCGGCGACCGCGCGCAGACGAACACCCAGCATTACGGGAAACGGCCTTACGGTGTGGGTCTGTTGGTTGCTGGTGTTGACGAGGCTGGCCCGCACCTGTTCGAGTTCCAGCCCTCCGGCCTGACACACGAGATGGTTGCTTGTGCCATCGGTGCTCGTTCGCAGATGGCACGTACGTATTTGGAGCGAAACCTCGATAAGTTCGAAGACTGCAGCCGTGATGAGCTGATTCAGCATGGATTGAGCGCGCTAAAGGAGACACTGTCTCAGGATAAGGAGCTTACGATTGACAATACTTCTGTTGGTGTTGTCGGTGTGACTAATGGCAAGAAGGAGAACTTCAAGCTGTACGAGGGCCAGGACACGGCTGCGCTGCTTGAGGTGCTGGAGCAGCGTGAGTCCGCTGGTGCGGAGGGCGAGACCATGGAGGTTGATTCATAATTGTCTGATTTGGTTTAATGATTCGCATAGACATGAAATCCTGATTCTGCTTTGTCTTGTGTTTGCGTCCAATGATCTCAGTTACTCAATCATCAATTCATAAGGCTCTTCTAACGAAGTAATCTACTTGTGTATGTTTATATCCTGGACTTTTCCACTGCCGAAACCCGAACAGACCCGAAACAAACCCCAGTCAAATGCAACGACCTCCATATACTCGTACCCCATTTGTTTAATCAAACAGAGCAGCCTCACTCCTCTCCCCAGTTCAACTGCATCCGCCCATTACTGACCTGATAGGCCAGCAACTTAGGCCAAACCTCAGAAACCTCCTTAGCCTCCGCAAGAATCTCCCCATTGCTGGCACTGATATACCCCTCCTTCACAGCATTGCGCACCCAAGCCAACAAGCCATCCCAGTACCCATTGATATTCAACAACACAACACCAACCTTGTGAATCCCCAACTGGTTCCACGTCGTCATCTCCATAACCTCCTCAATAGTTCCAAACCCACCAGCCAGCGAAACAAACCCAGACCCAGGCCCGCCCTCAAGGACCTTCTCCGCCATCAAGCGCTTGCGGGTGTGCATATCGGCGACAATGGTCGTAAGGCCGTACTCCGACTCGGGGATGCCATTGGAATCAACAGCATCAAAGGATTCGACAACACGCTCGGCAGCTTTGCCGGCTGTGGCACTGGCCTGGCCCTCCGTGTGCTCGCGCATACCGCCCACAGTTGCGACTTTGACTAGTGCGCGTGGGATGATGCCGTGCACGGCTTTGGGGCCCGAGAGAGAGACAAGAGAGCGTGCGACTTCACCCATTAAGCCGGTTGTGCCGCCACCGTAGACTAGTTGCACATTGTGCTTGTGGAATTCTTTGGCGAGGGCTCGGGCTGCTTCCATATGGACTGGGCTGTTGCCTGGTACTGAGCCGCAGCTGGGGACCCGAGGGGGGGGGGTTGGTTAGTTTAATGTTTCAAGGACGGAGAGGAAGAGGGAATATATAGGCTCTGGGGATACACGCGCCAGATAGACAATATGGTGTAGTTGTAACCTTGAAATTGCCCAGGTGGTGGTGGGGGTATGACTCACAATACACAAACAACAGCTGGTTTGGTCTCCGGGTCTGCCATGTTGGTTTATATTTGGGATTGATGATATGGACAAATAAGAGGAGCTGAAAAGATCTTGATCAAGGGAGAATGAAGAAGAGAGGGAGCTTGACAAGAGGGAACACAAGACCAAACAGGTCAACCCCCACTCCGATAAGAGATAGCGGAGTATAACGTCAGGGCTGCCAGGGCTCCAATTTTGCTCTTCGAAGTAATTTTTGTATGTAGCTAAGATTTTACAAATACATACCTCAATCTAGATTGCACATTGTATCTCGTTGGTTGGTTTATGAGGGCCTATCCACTCGAAATTAGAACACTAACTTGTGTACGGCAGGTCTTCATGGTGTAGGGAATTTGCAGGAAACCTGAGCATTTACTACTATTGATAGTATGCCTACAACCCTTTTTTTGGGCTATATAGGCTATACTATGTTAGTTTCGTAGCCTTTTCATAGACTATTGGACTACTGAATATTCTCGTATCATCATTTGATCTTCTAAGATTTGTTGAAGGATGCACAATCATGTCGCTATACCACGACTGTGTCAACGCGTTTCTGCGATTGGAAGGTAAATGGAATCAATTCGCCGGGGCCAAAAAAAGTTCAATATTATTGTACGAATTTATACGGCAACGAAAAAATGTAACAAAACAAAAAAAGCATACAGACTCTCTTTCTTGCTCTTGGGCATTCATACGAGAGTGCTCGACTAGTAAGCGGTCAGACAACGATTGGAGAAGTGCTAAGAACGAGGATCTAGACGGCGTACTAAGGATTCATGGTAATAGTGTCAATTACTTAGTAATAAAGTACTTGGACCCAAACTTCTTGAGTTCTCGGATCGGGGTGGTTTCGAAGACTTTGGTAGGCATCTCGAACCTCTATAGCCCCCTCTCGGATTAAGATATCTTGGCTATGTAGCGCAGCTGTGAAATCCTTTTTAGACAATCCTATCTCGTGTAGGAAGGTCTTGCCCTCTCCTAATGTATATCCCTGCCAAATAGGCAAGGCTACATTAAGTCCTCGTCCTCCCCAACAGATTTCGATATCATTGGGTAGGTAAGATTTCAGATCAGAGGACCGTAGGGTCTGGAATACACAGGCTGCAAACATCTCTTGGAGATTTAGGAGTAGCTGGCCCGATTCGCCTCGTAACTTCGTTTGAAATCCTGCAACCTTCACAAAAATAGAGGTGAATCCTCCAGTATCAGTCTCTTGAAGCCATTCCCATATTTTATAATGAAGCGAGGGGTGTCTCCTCCGAAATTCTAGGTCGTTATGATATCTGATTCGGTCGGAAAGGTCATCTGCTTGTTCAACATAGAGATACATCAGGCCCGGTACTTAGAGTATATGAAGATAGACTCCTGCGTCAGGGTCGCTCTCTGGATTGCCACCTATTTGGACTAGCTCGTTTGGGCCAATCAACTGTCCCTGACCCTGAAGAACTGCTAGAGTGACTCTGGTTAGAGACCCTAGCAAAATATCTTCGATGTCCTCACAGCTGTCGACGAAGTCTTGATACCGCTTTTTTTGTGAATTTTGCTCGAGAATCTTTATTATCATATGCCGAGCCACCATTCTCAAAGGTATACTAGCAAGGTAGACACTTTCAAGCTGCTTAGGATACACCGAAGCCTGGGAGGGGAATTTTTTCGTCGGCTAAGAGTGAAGTCACTTGGCCATCTTGGACGACTTGTATCTCTTGGACTGCAGTATCTATGTATGTCTTCAAGGGCTCCGCAGGATATTCATGCCCAGCGCTTTCATCTTCAACGGATTGCTCATCGATAGGGGCGGGTTTGTCGTCGACAAATCCATCGTCAGCAGTCTCGTCGCTGCAAGATTCATCGCTGTAATATTCGATTTCTGTTACTGGACAGATATATGGACAGGCTCGGCAAGTAAAGTAGGTTTGAAATCCCTTAGGGGCTGAATCGGCGGCACGGGGTAAGATGGTCAAGTAGCTAGCGCAACTCGGGCAAACTAAATAGGCCAATCAGTCGGCATTATTCCAGATAGAGGCATAGTCTAATATTCTCACATTCTGGTGGTCTTGTTGAGGATTGGACACGGGATGATGATATGGTGAATAGCGATTGGTCCCTTCTCTATGCGAGGAAGAGTCATAGAATTGATTGCGTCGGGGAAATCAGAAGAAGATGGTGGTGATATGGTATGAGCCTTGACTTGTAAAGCAGAACGGTGCTGGGCGCGAGAAATCGTCCTTGTGGGAAGAAGCAGAGAGGTGAATATCCTTCGTTAGAAATGCAAGGAGAGAGAGAGAGAAGGATAACCTTTGCTTATCGTCTCTTGCAAAACAGGGCATTTATATGCATTGTAACTACCAAGCAATTTCTCAGTTTGCAAAAAAATGCCTAAGGCATCAGGCATACACTTCGGTCATAGTTATCACTACATTTACATGTCTTTCAAAAGTCATGACAATCTTATACTCGATGAATCATATCTCACTCATTCAACCTTGGCTAGATAAAAACCAAGTAGTTTGTATTAGGTAGAATACGTTCCTTTTATATAGTGCTAGCATTGGAATATACCGCCCTATGATTCCAAAAGTTTTAAAGTAAAAGTTGGTCATAAGTCCACTGTTTTTGTGGGTGTACTATACAAAATCATCGTTTCTTCTCTGTATCCATCATTCTGTCTTGATCAGCTATATCACCTCCGCAGAACTAGCAAATTATATATGTGGTTCTGGGTCACAAAAGGTTCTAAGTTGCTGAAGATCCGTACTTGTCCCAAAAGAAGCTTGAACTTGATTAGGCAGGTTTTTGCTTTTTCGAAGGGGGAAAGAGCTACTGGTGTCCATATGTCCAAGCTAACTGGCAAGAACGTTGGAAGGAGGATGTTTACCAAACCTTGAGATATCCATGTATGCCCTTGGTTTCCACCTTCCAAATAGTTCAAGATATGGTTCGGTGAATTTTGAGGAAACGAGCTTTGTGAATTACAAGTATTGCCCATTATCATTTTCTACTCGATTATGAATTGCAAGCAGATGAAATCTGGGATGCATAGGGGACATCCGAAGCCGAGAGAAAAGATATCTAAAGAGAGGTCCAAAAATACTTCCAAAAGACATTTAAAAAGGGCCCCCAAAGATACATCGGGATATTATGTTACATATAACGTCCTTCTCATCATCTTGAGCTAGGTAGACAAGATTAGAGGCCGCATACGTGGCTGACTACTCTAACCATTTGAATTATGGTCACTTTGAGGGAAATGTAATGGTTTTAAATGTGCTTCGTCAATCATTCTTTGACTTTCCTTCCAAATTACATCCGACTGAATAATATGTATCCGAGATTGAGCTCATGAATTGATAAGCGAAGGCAGTTAGATCAATGTAAAGTTGAAACTCAAAATGCCAATTCTGAGCCGAACCAATCAGATGTCGAGTTGACTTCCGGGTTTGATCCGTAGACGGAAGTCAACTCGGACTGTGATTGGCTCACGGAATATATCTGAGGTTTTCCTACTCCAGGCGCCTCTGGCTTCTACACGGAGTTCACGTAGCTGTAGGTTACGTTTTCTCGCGGAAGATTGTAAGCAATGTCGGATATATATATTACTGCGTCATTGTGTGAGACCCTTCTCCTTTTTTTTTTTTCTGTGGCATGGGAAAATGTTAAATAATTCATACGACCGTTGAAGTATATATAGTTGGTTAGTAACTACACAAACTCAATTCGAATCGTGAGTTCAATCATGGGAGACCCAGAGAATGCTCTCAAAGTAAGTGGTCTTTATATGTTGACAACCCCAGAAGAGCAGAAAGTCTAATTGCTAAATCGAAATGCAGGATGAGGTCCTCACGGAGAAATCCCCTTCGCTCATTTATCGCCCATCTGGCCGGTCATTGGGCATTGTCTATGAGAATGTGACAGTGCTTGGTTCATCGTCAGGAGCGGATGGCATTTCGAATTTGCCAGCACTGCTGTTCAAAATTGCAAAGTGGCCATTCTCGAAACTTTTCACGAGAAAAGCCTCTGCATCAACTAAGATCTTAGAGAATGTATCAGGAGTTCTTTTCCCCGGTGAGACTTTGTTGGTGCTGGGTCGACCAGGGTCCGGCTGCTCAACTGCCTTGAAAGTCCTGGCCAACAATCGCGAGTCTTTCCAGGACGTGCGCGGTATGGTGTCCTACGCTGGTCTAGAATCAAAAGAGATGCTCGATAAATTTCCTTCAGAGGTCATATACGTGGGCGAAGAGGATATCCATTTTCCAACTCTCAAAGTGAAAGACACACTTGGCTTCGCTCTTCGCCTTCGCAAGCCTGCATCCGAGCAGAGAGACGATGCCGCTTTTTCTGAGGAGATGACAGACGCAACCTTGTCTGCCATGGGAATGATGCATACGAAAGACACGATCGTGGGTGATGCGTTTATTCGTGGATTGTCAGGGGGCGAGAGAAAACGCATCACTCTGGGGGAGGCTCTTGCTGTCAACCCAGCGTTTGGATCATGGGACAATCCTATCCGTGGCTTGGATAGCTCATCGGCCACCCAGTTCTTGCGTACCCTCCGATCTGTCTCCAAGAGTTCCGGAATGTCCAACGCCGTATCCATCTATCAAGTCTCGGAGAAAATTTACCAGGAGTGCTTCGACAGGGTCATGGTACTCTATGAAGGTCAAATGATCTTTTATGGGTTAACATCCGACGCGAAGCAGTATTTTATTGACCTTGGATTCGAATGCCGTAACAGGCAGACAACCCCCGACTTTTTGACCTCCGTGACCTCGACAGCCGAGCGATTGATCCGTGAAAAGCACAAGGCCTCTTTTGTCCCTCTCACTCCGGTCGAAATGGCACATGCCTTCCGCAACAGCACTCAATATCGAAAACTCCTGGATGAAATGGAAAGATATCGCACGACAGTGGTGCAAGATCAAAATACCATTACTAGCTTTGCTCAAAGCGTGCAGGAATTGAGATCCAAATGGACTCTTGGAAAAACGGCTGCCCCAACACCATTGTTCAAGCAGGTCTGGGTGACACTTCGCCGCCACTACCAACTGCTTTGGGGCGAGCGTCGAACATTCTACGCGCTCATTGCATTCAACCTGGCCAACGCTCTCATCAATGGTTCTTCCTACTACATGGCCCCGAAAGATGCCACTGGCTCTTTCGAAAGAAGCTGTGCGTTGTTTTTTTCTTTGATTTATTTCTGTTTGGTCGGCATGGCAGAAGCAACAGCCACTGTGAAATCCCGCGACGTGCTCCTTAAGCAAGCCAAATACGGCTTTCTTCGGCCGGCAGCACTTGTCATTGCGCAAGCTTTGGCGGATATCCCAGTGGCGTTCATTCAATGTCTTCTCTTCACCTGCTGTTATTATTTCACTATCGGCCTGGTAAAGACAGCCTCTGCCGTTTGGATATTTATCCTGATTGTCTTTACTTATTATTCCGCTATACAAAGCATGTTTCGAATGTTGGGCGCCTGGTCCCCTAACATATCCGTTGCCCTGCTTCTAGCTGGTAGTGCGGTTCCTGTAAATCTTCTTTGGTCTGGCTATTCCCCGACGAGACCGACACAGCTTCGGTGGGGATCCTGGATACGACGAATTGCACCTTCACCCTGGGCACTCGAGGCGCTGATTGCAAACGAGTTTTCAGGGATCGACCTGACTTGTCCTGAATCCCAGATGGTGCCAACTGGCAGTGGATACGATGACTTGCGATATCAAACCTGCAGCATTGTGGGAAGCGAGAAAGGCCATCGATCGGTATCTGGTACGACATATATGACCCAGCAGTTCGCGTTCTCTCGTGGGAATCTATGGCGCAATTTTGGTATTCTTTTGGTCCTATGGTTTTTGTACACGTTGTTGGCCGGGTTAGGACTCACCATCATGACCCGGGAAACCAGCGGTTCCCATTCTCGAGTGTTCAAGAAATCAAAGTCACCTTCTCTGGCCCGGCATGCAACGCCGAGTGATGATGTTGAAAGGAACTCCAATACGTTGTCCCATTCGTCAAGCATTTCGACGGTTCAGAACGATGAAAATGAGCCTATCGATCAAGTCAGCAGTAAACCCCACGGTTCAATCTTTTCATTCAAAGATTTAAGCTACTACGTGAACGTCAATGGCGAGGAAAAGCAGTTACTTCGAAGCATCAGTGGCTATGTCAAGCCTGGCCAACTAACTGCTCTGATGGGTGCATCTGGTGCGGGCAAAACAACTCTTCTCGACACCCTCGCCCAACGGAATAGCAGTGGACGTGTCGAAGAAGAGCTGAGAATTAATGGAAAGCCTTTGGGTCCCACGTTCCCTCGGTCCTGTGGTTTCGTTATGCAACAAGATGTTCACGAGCCTTTGGCTACCGTTCGCGAAGCGCTCCAGTTTTCCGCTCGTATGAGACAGCCGGCAACCATCCCCGATAGCGAAAAGATGGCGTATGTTGAAAATGTCATCAATACCCTGGATATGGAGTCTATCGCAGATGCGCTTATTGGAACGCCCGGTGACGGGAAATTATCTGTGGAAGAACGGAAAAGAATAACCATTGGAGTTGAATTGGCAGCTCGTCCGTCTGCGTTGCTGTTTCTTGACGAAGTAAGTTATCCCCTGGAATATCTACCTTTGGGTATGAATTTGGTCTCTCCCTCTTGAATTCCTGCATGACAAGAACTGACCCATGTGACTTTCACCATAGCCTACATCAGGCCTTGATAGCCAAGCCGCTTATTCCTTGATTGTGTTTCTTCGTCGAGTGGCCCAACAAGGTATTCCCATCATTTGCACAATTCATCAGCCATCCGGCGTGTTGTTCAATATGTTCGATCGCATCCTTCTTCTTGCGCCTGGAGGACGGACCGTTTTTGCTGGCGAGACGGGTGAAAATTCAGCCAATGTTGTCGAATACTTCCAGAAAAACGGTGCTGTCATCGCCGCAAACGATAACCCTGCTGAATTTATCATCTCTTTGATTTCCTCACAGGGTGTCGACTCGCATCCCTGGTCAGAAATATGGAACGAGTCGGAAGAGCGCAAGGCACTTGACGAAGTTGTATCTGAACTTCAAAGTGATGACAGTCTCGCAAATTCGTTCCTTGCCGATGGTCTCGACACAAACCAGGGTGGATACGCATTACCTCTCTATGCACAAACCCTGGAGGTCACGAAGCGTCATTGGATTTCAGTCTGGCGAAATGGATCTTACAACTTCAGTCGCATTTGGAAAGCCCTCTTCATCGAGATGTTCATTGCGTTTGCATTTTTCAAAACGAAGGACACTCAGCAAGGACTTCAGAACTATATGGTTGCAATTCTTCTTCTTGCATGGATTATTCCAGCGTCATGCGCAGATCTTCAGAACGTGTGGTTTGAGAAATGGGCCATTTTCACAGCCCGCGAGAAGAACGGAATATACGATTGGAAGGCTCTGGTATCTGCCTGCGTCGCAGTTGAGCTGCCATGGCAAATCGGCACCTATACCCTCGTTTTTTTGGCTACGTATTGGACAATCGGCCTCCCCACTACGACAACCGCCACAGGCTACTTCTATTTCATCTGGCTCCTTCTCGCGGTTTTTGGCACAACATATAGCCAGCTCCTTGCTGCGCTGTTTCCGAACGGAACAATGAGTGGTCATGCGAACTCGCTGATCTGGTGCATTTTAATGGTCTTCTCGGGAGTTCTGACCCCCAAAGATTACCTGAATGACTTCTACCGTCCTTGGTTGTTTTGGGTAGACCCCATGCGATACTTCTTTGGAGGAAGTGTTTCAAGTGCCTTGCATGGTCTCCGTGTAAATTGTGGTCCTGATGAGTTCGTCGAATTTGATCCTCCTCCCGGCCAGACATGTGGGGAGTACGCGGGTCGTTTTATCAGTCACAGTGCGGGTTATCTTATGGATGAGAACTCCTCGACGAACTGTCAGTACTGTCAGTACTCAGTGGGTGATGATTATTTAGAAACCCTGAGCTTTCACTATTCTGATAAGTGGCGGGACTGGGCAGTCTTTTTGGGATTTTGCATCACTAATATTGTTCTACTGTACATCGTCATGTGGTGGAATAAGGGGAGACTACAGCGCCGTGCCCGAGTCACCCCGTAAGATCCACACCTACTTCGCTGCATGATATGTCATGGGGGAAGTCATGTTGACAATGGAAATTGTGATTGGTATAATGCAGAAAATTAATACTTGGCAGCATCTTGGGGTTTGGGGCATGATTGAATACATCCATGGATGGTTGAATATAGGGTGTTTTACTTAGAAAATATGTGACCGCTAATTGCGAGTCTTACATAATATTGCATAGTATGCTTAGGTAGATTATTCGTTGAGATTCTTGTCATTTTAGAGAAATATAGATCATTGCGCCATGCCATACATTGTCGTACTGCCAGATTTTGTCAGACCCTGATTATACATAGAAATGTCCTCTTCACGGTTTATTTTTTTAACCGCCTTTGTATACCAAGAAGACCATCTGGAAAGACTATCTGGAAAGAACAAGTAGAAACAAGTTAGTACAAATCCTAGCATAACCTCCCTACTATCATCCGAGAACATGGATCGGATTATTAAAGTCTTACAGAGGGTGTATAAACAGCCGAGTATGCTTGTTTTGAGAAGGTGACAGAAGACAATATAGACTGGCCAGTCCTAGGCAGAGACAGAGATCCCAGTGGTTTCCACAGTCTAATAATATTTCTAGTCATATCAATAATCTTTTATCAAACTCGTCTTCTCCAACCAAATGGCATTTTCAATTGAGATTTTCTGGGATACCAAAATCGAAGAAATTGCCATTTAACCAATACGATAAACCATTCATGCCGGAAATATCAGCAGGTATCAGGTCATTTACATTTGGGTTGAGATCACCGTCATGTGAAGGCATTTCGGCCATTTGCGCGTCAAAATTTAGGGGATGTTCAACATCACCAGTCAGGTTTTGATCGTCGATTGGCTCTGAGCCGTAACTGTAAATCCAGAGCGTCAGCATGCAATGTCAAAGGAGCAACAGGTTGGGAGTTAGAGATAACATACTTTAGCCAGGGAAATTCATCAATCATCGTGTGATCAAAACGAATATCACTATTTGATAACATCAAGGCATCCTTGGCGCATTTCATCACATCCACGCTCAGTGCCTTACCAGTCGTAGGTCCAACGTGCTCCATCTTATCTAGACAATGTATGGCACGCTCAACGTGACTGAAAATTTCCTTGGCATAGGTAGAAGTTACGCTCGGCTCTATGACGTTGTATAGTAGCGTAACACATGCGGACATGATGAAGCTCGCAATTGAAGCGTCGTTTTGGATGACCGGGATGCGAGTGGAGATGGCTTGATGAGTCAAATCGACAATGCATTTGGCCGAGGAAATGGCGGTGTCAATTGACTTTTGTAGACTCGGCATATTGGGAGATTGCTCTCCTGAGTGACTGTGCAATGTTATAAGGACGAGAGCTGGTCGATGCATCATCAATTTTGTCAAATGATAAGTGAGGCCGAGGTGTGTGCGTTGAATTTCCTGCCAGTCCTTACCAATAGCGCGATTGGGATCAGGGAATTGGAGATATTCCGGTAGATGTCCTAAAATGACGTTCAATGCTTTATCGCATGTGTTGATGGTCTCTGCTGTCTTGACGGAATATCCGTTCGTCGAGACGCTGGCGAGGGAGAAAACATCCGTGGACACAGTCTCGACAATCTTCGCAATTTCCGCCGTTGCTCGGATAAATGCACAGTTTATGATTGGTGCCGTTTTATCCAAGGAATTTCCACTCAGTGAGACATGATCAATGAGGGGAGAATCTTCGAGGTGGGCGACGTCGATATGGCGATCCGAGATGCTAGATGGGCGTCCGGTAAAGAAAGCAGACATCCTTTCGTGCGAATACACTGTCCAGAAGGTTGTGCGGAGACGATGCATGGATAGACTGCTGCCGTTGGCGACCTGACCCCGATTGAGACCAAGAGTAAGAACACTACGGGCTGCGTGGCCCGTATACAAATACACATCATTTGGTCTCATGGAATGTAACGCAAACATTGCCTAGAAAGACCAGATCATACACCTGATCAGTACATATTCGTTACTATCGCAAAGCCAGTCAAGGTGGAACCAACCTTTAGCAACAAGAAATGCGTGCCTTTGAGGCTCGATTCTTGGAAGAGAGCGCTATAGTTGTTGGAGTGCGCCCAGAGATATTCAGCCCATTTGTCCAGATAATCTGCAGCACGCTCTGAGCCACGAGGTGATATTTTAGCCCCAAGTGCTAAAACCATGAACAAAACATCTCTGCCTTTGCCTGGTTTTCCCGGAGTGGGTGCCTCCCAGACACCGTCCCACAGCTGGGTAACCTCTGACTGATTAAGCAACGGGATTTGGGGGTGAATGATATGAAAGAAAGAGTTGATGAAGCCATATCCTGTTTCTCTGGGCAAGCACGCGTTACTGACCGGGGCCGAGAATGGGGAGAATTCGCTTTCACAAGCAAATAAGAAATGGTGTATGCCCCATTTCTCTAGCCCATCCGGAACGGGGCCGTTCTGTTGATCAAGTAGGGTTTCACGTGTGCGCGACTTCAGTCGCTGATGTATCCTCTGGATGAAGCATATGTGAGATGAGGGCCCTAAAGTTCCGAAAAGTTAATAGCACATCCCACAAGGACCAGTCTGCTAATTCGATACCGTAGAACTGAAAAGACCCGGTTTTCGTGTTGGACACTCCAATACCCGCTCGAAGTTCTCGTTGCATCTTTAACATTTCATGATCATGTTGAAGTTGCGGAGTCAAAGCACTGGCTCCTGAAATTGGGCCATGTGGGCTGGAAGACTTGGTGTTCACGCCATTTTGGTAGTTCCGAGCTGATGAGGCTAAAGGAAACCTCTTTCTAGAAGGCCGACGATCGTACTGGCGATAAATGCAAGAACTGATATTGCGCTCTATACATGCACTGCAGGGCTGGTCGCCGTCACATTTGACTTTCCTACGCCGGCATAGTTCGCAGGCACGATTAATGCGGTTACTATTTGCCGGTAGGGCGTCCTGCATTTGATAAAAAAGAATGTGGGGGGCTGTTTTGACGCAAAATAAACCGACAACGAACATCTATTGAATTCTTAGAAACAGCTGAAAATCCAAACGATGTATGAACGATGTATCAAATGACGTCACATGATTAGCTTAATATAGGGCTGACAAATCTATTTTACACTCAGTCTAGGGATCTTGGAAGGGAAGGGCTAACACCCTACCTATCCCTCGATTTACCTTGAGACTATTTCTGTTTTTGGGATCTCGGTTCGATATAATTTGCCGGATATGCCAAGGTATACGCTCTATCTAGACCTGAATTTACTGTTAGAAGATGCGTTGGGTAGACCGAGATATCCCTCGAATGTCTCTGGTACTACTCAGGGTAACGACACTCGAGTTACTGTATTTCCGCAATATGGTGGTCCGCTTATGCGGCGTTGCGACGGCTTGTTGGGAGTCTTTTCGGTATTTTTCTCAATATATATTTGCCCGCCTTATCAGTTTCATACATAGACGGCAGAAGAAGGTGGAGAAAGGCCTAATTTGTGATGCATATTTCTGATTGTATATATGTTTGTGTTGAGAGGTAAATCACGCGACCTCTATTGCTTGCGCTTAGACTATATATAGTGTCTTATCGCCTTTATAAATAGCCCCTCTTCTCCATATGTACCTATAGAGCTTCTTCCAGAGTCTTCTTGTTCCCAGTAAATATCTATATCTATATTTTCTGTCTCTAAATATACAATTGATGGATCCCTATACCGATTAGTGAATAGTGAGAACATGAAGCTTTTCCAGTGCAAAAGGTGGGTGGCATGGGCATCAGAAGGGTGAACATGGATGTCTGATCAGTGATCTCGATCCAGGGTCTCCCTCATTATTTTCTTTGGCGAATGATTACTGACAACCTATGCAATTTGTGCTAGGCTTTGAACATGACTTCTTCTTTGCAGCTCTTTGACTGGCCCAAGATACTGATGCCCAGTCCCTTATCTCCTGGTTTTGCCACGGCTGCAAATGCTGTAGCTCCTTCTGCCTCTGATCCTTCGGGTACCTCTGTCACTTTCAATACTGCTACGCTGGTAGTGGGCTCTATCGGTTCAGAATCCGATAATCTGGACATGGGGATTGAAGAAGAAACATGCCCCCCTCCTTGTTCTACGAGAATAGCCCTCTAATGGCCTACTCTTGGAAGGCATTTATGTTGGCCAGTATCTTCACACGACCGTGGAGTACCTTGATGTCGGTGCACATTCTCTTCTCTTGGTACCATCAAATCGGGTTCTATCACAATGCAGAGCCTACAAAGACAGTGATCAAATACAGTAGCTCGGTTTGTTTACAAGGCTCTGATACATTCAGCCTTACTTTTGATATTCTTCTTTCTATCTTTTGCTGCACCTCTGTATTCCTTCTCTGCTTTCCACTTTTCTCTATATCAAATACTCCTGCATGTTCTACTCAATGACGAAAAGGCTGAAGTTCTGTAAGGGGAAAAAATGCAACTGTTTCTTAGCATGCTGGCTCCCATTCTCTGAAGAAAGAGCTGGGATAACTAGCTCAACGACTTGGCTGTGCAATCGCCGGAGACTACGAGGCCTAGAGCCAATGAGACTGAGGCTGGAGATAGTTCCCTGAAGTGGAGGAGTTTGTTGCTTCTCCTTTTTTCCCTGTCGCCTAGCCCTAAATGTGACAATACCACTTGCGAAGTGGTATGTCGAGTCGTCAGTTCAAGCATTTCTGACAGGTCATTTGGATAATAATTTGATGGGTTTATAGTGGCCAAATCAATCGCACTCTCTCACCAAGCAAAGGTTCTGGGAATGTTTTGATGTGGCAATCAAAGCCTGCGCCCTGGTTCATTCTGCTACATACAACTATCCATGGAGCTTAGTGCCCGAGGAAGATGTTCGATATGATCTTGTATTGTAAAATTATCTCGAGATGATGAATGTACTTCTGATGTCAATTTGTCTCCTAAGAAGGTCGAAGCATAATATGGAAGTGTGATAGGCGTTCTAGTTGTAAAGGACAGCAGCAGTGTCAAGAATCCATGAGAATCAACCCTTGTTCCCCCCCCCCAAAAAAAAGATGAGCTACAACGTTTAAGTGTTCGGAGAGATAATAAGTGAACTCAGTCAGGCCAAGAGGTATATGTCAAAATGAGCTGATAGCCAGCCCTAGTTCCCGTAAATGCTATGCCCAACCCCAAACGCCTAGAGATGCAACAGAATAAATGGTATCAAAGCAACTCAGCTAACGATCCGACTCTTCTTCCTCTTTCCCTTATCACCAGAGCTAGGCGGCGAACTCTTCTCAGAAGCCTTACCGGGTGTGTCGACGCGCACCTGCGGCGTTGACGCCCTGGCAGGCAGGGCAGAAGGCATACCAGTCGCCGCCACATTAGCAGCAATTTTCGGCGCACCCTTGACGGCCGATGCAGTAGTCTCGGCGCCAGTTCTCGATAAGATGAACGAGCCTGGTTCGCCGACGAGAGGGCTCTCGTCCATGAATTCATCACCGTAGCGCGTGAGTAGGCTGAATGACTCGGCTAGACTGCGCGTATCTTGGTAATTGGAGCCTGTGGTTGAGCCTCCCAGGGTGGATTTACTGGTTGATTGGGAGGATTCGGTCGTTGGGAAGGATGCGTCTGGCATGGGTGTTGCTTCTTTGCTCTGGGAGGCTTGGCTGGTTCCAGCAGGTTCTTTGCTACGGACTCCCGGTGGCAAGTAGGTGTGTCCGTGGGAGGCGGTAAATGTTGGTAATGTTGCGGCGGATTTCATGAGTTGGGTTAGGGATGTGACGGCTGATAGCTGGGGGGTGGGAAAGATTTATTAGAATATTTGTCTTAAAGTAGTTGGTGGGTTCTGAGAAAATACGTACAATTCGGTTGCCCACTACACTCGCAACTGAAGGAGCCATGTAGATGCAGTCGCCGACAATGAAGTATGTAGATATCACGGTCACCTCGTCGTCCATGCCGCTCCTCTTCCGCCGGTTCTGCTTGCGGATCACCCAGATATTGGACGGCTCGTGGGCGAAGCGGTTGTCTGTCTGCGCGGCGGCTTGGAGGGGGTCATATGACACAATGAACTCCAGACCCTGCATTGTCTTCAGTCGGGCTTCGAATGCTTCGCGCGTCTCAACGAAATGACGGAAGGCATCGTTGTAGTTGGCTTGGATGGCGAGCGAGGCGTTGTTGGAGGTCGAATCAAAGAAAGGGGACTCTGCAAAATAGAACAGAACTAATTGACGAGAAAATTAATATCAGGTCTAGGGGTGGTAGGGTCTGCAACTCACTGTTGTTGGAATGAAGGAATCCCCCCATCATCTGGACGTGCGGGGGAGACCGCCAGAGGATCTCCTCCATTGAGGCATCTTGGCTCGCCATTTGCGAGTCTGGAATGATATACTGAGGCGACTCCGGTCTATCAACGCTCGCGACAAGCTTTTATTTTTGAAAATTGCGCAAGAAGTTCAAAGGAAAGACACAGGTCGGAACTTGAAGCTGCGGAGAAATTGATGTTTGCTTTGTTTGCATCTTGACAATATACGATGACGACAAAGAATCAGTTGAGAGAGTGATGAATATCTGTATTTCTAATTTCTATAGTTGTTGAATGGGCTTTATAGACAAAATCCAAGGTACTAATACAATAACAAAATGCGAACCAAAACGCCAACGCCAACGCTGAATGTTGAATCGAATCACTATCCCAACGCATGGATCCAGATGTTGAAAGCAAGGGAAAGCGTGGATCATGATGGGATCAAGTATCACTGTCATAATGACCAATGATCGAGAGTGGACCGAGTGGTTAAGAGGTCGTAGCTGACTTCTCGATTGCATTAAGCGGCGTGAAGACGTTGCAAACCACACGCAGTTTGGTCAACATCTCATCCCATTCGCCCTCCGCAGTGCTGAGTGTCGTAATGGCACCACCGGCGCCGATTCGCCAGGTCTGCTGCTTATTCTCGGTATAATCTCGACCGCCATAACAAGTGAATGCCGAGCGAATTAGAACCGAGAAGCTTCCACCTCCGCCAAGGTCCAGGAAGCCCATCACACCGGAGTAGATGCTACGCTTGCGATTCTCAATAGTGCGAAGATGCATGCAAGAGCGTTCCTTGGGCGCACCGGTCATGGAGCCCGGTGGGAGGCACCGCTGGAGAGTGGTCAGGCCGTGGACGGACATGTTGGGGGTATTCAGCTGGGGCATATGTCGCACAGCGAAACCAGGGTGGTTGGGGCGGATCTTGCCCTTGATGTGGGTAATCATTGAGTAAACTCGGCCGTAATCTGCAACTTCAAGCAGCTTCTCGACATGAACGCCACCTGATCCGCAGATGCCGTACAGATCGTGCCGGATCAAATCCGCGATCATTAGGTTCTCGGCCATCTCTTTCGTAGAGCCGAGAATCTCACAGGCCTTCTCCATGGTCATGCCCGGTGATTTTCGGACAGTGCCCTTCATTGGCTTCATCTCCAGTGTTGATTCACGGTCCCAATTGAGGAAACACTCTGGACTGCTGCTGGCGATCTTTGTATCTCCTAAATCTGCGAAAGCGCTGAACGCAGCTGGGTTGTATGTTTTGAGTCGTCTGTACAACTTCCAGGGGAATATCACGCGATCCGACTCCGCTTCTGGAACTGGCAAGGTGATCGACGTCTCAGATGTGAGGCATAGTTCATAAGATTCACCGGCTTCCAGCTCCGCTTTGCA